TTATACGTTGTTTTTTTTTTAATTAACTGCTTCAACGCCACAAAACGAGACCACACCAAAGGGTATCCAGTTTCTTCCTAGAATCTACGCTCTTACTTATCTTGATTTACTAGACAATACCAACCATGATATGATAATCTGGAAGTCATGATATTATATAAATTGATACTGCATTGTATATTACTCATATTTGTGATGTAACTATAGCAAGATCTTTATTTTGCATGGAACATTTTAAATAATTATATTATATTATTTTAAGTTGAAAAGTTTTGATTCGTGTTTCAAATAAAAAATGTTTAACAAAAGGTTTAAAAGAAATGTATAATTAACTGAAAACAATAACGACTTTATCCAAAATAAATAAGAGAAGTAACATTTATTCATTAAAAAATATATCTGAAGTAAATTCTACAATTTTTTTTAGTTTAATAGAAAAGTTTTTTTTTAAGTTTCTTATAAAGAGGATAAGTTGTGTTGTGTTGTTATATAGAAATATACATGAACACCTTCAGTTAAAAATGTTTGTATTTATTTAACAATTGATTGAAACTCAAGATCAGAAACCAATAAGAATCAAAGCTAAATATATTTCAAGTTTCAATAATAAGTTTTTAAACCTAACAATTTCCCACGAAGAAAACATTATAAACCTAATTTTATTATGAATGTTTACTTCTTAGTTTTTTTGGTTCATAATGCAGAAATTGATCCATAGCATGACTAAAACGATCATCAATATTTGTAGTATTATTTGTGATGCGAACAGAGATATAAAAAGAAGGAGAAGAAGAAAAGAAATGTAGCCATTTGTATTCAAAGACTGGCCAAGCCAATAATCACTAATCCCACTGCCTTCCTCGCATTTTCTTCGATTTTACTTTCACGACTCCTCACTTAACTCAAGCCGTTTTCATCCAAGAAACGTGAAAAATAAACGAACATTTTATTGGCCATTATGTTCCGCTAAGTTCTATGCAATTTTTACATTTCAATGGAAATTAAGCATTATATTCACTGTCATACAATTATGAAATACCTTAAAGTATACATCAATCATTACATTTTAACTATCATCAACAACAACAACAAAAAACAAGTTATTACAAATCTTATAATTAATGAACGCATATCAACATAAAATTCATATAAATTTATATAATTTTTTTGTGACTCAATCACAAAAGGCAAATAACGTAATAAAATTAATTAAATTCAGCGTGTAAATCGAGACCATCGACGTGGATTTATGTGTATTTTTCGTTTTGGGATTGCGTGCAAAGCGGGAATTAATTTGAATGATTTTATTATACTTGCATAGCGTAGCACGATGCTATTCCATAGGACTCAGGAATCCCGAATTAATATTCAATTATTTAAATCATCCGAATACCAATATTTCGATTCGTCGAATCGATCGTTCATTTCTGACCATAACTCAATAAAGCGGTCTTCCTTTATTTATTACCTTCGCAGTTGAAACCATTTGTATTTGCAGCGAACGTTCATTTTAAAATATTCACTTTCATAATTCCGATTCAATTTAATTAATAGTGTTCATAAATTTATATAGGAAATATCTGATGCAATTTTTGTAAAATTCATCTTCATGTAGACTCTGTTCATATTTATACATTAATTAATCCAATTAAATAACTCTGTTTTAATATACAGGAATACCTCGCATAGTGCGGGTAATCTATCCCGAAGTTTAAAACCATACAAAAAGAGACTCAACTATGTAAAAGAAAAAGAAACTATCGTTTGTATATTGAAAATAGCTTTTAGATTATTTTGCAATTTTTATACCGGACTATAAATTACTAATTGAAGCCGTTGTACAAAAATATTAATTTAAAAATATATACGTGAGATAAACAAAAAATAATAAAATAAATGCCAGTGAAAAAATGTAATAAAAATTTGATAGAGAAATGAATAAACTTTTGTAAGTTGTAACGAAATCAAAACGTAAATATAATATTTATTACTTTAGTTATATGATATGAATTTACGTAAGATTTATAGATTGATTCATTATAAATTGCTCAATCTATTTGCATTTATATGTATGATTAAATTCTACAAATCCGGTACTTATTAATTATTTCATCAAATAGTAACGGGTTTTTACAAATGAATAATTGAAACATAATACAAATTTGTTATTACTTTTGTCACAAAAAAAAGTACATTTACAAATAAATAATTAAAATATTAGAAATCAAATAGTTTTTATTCATACATTAAATAAATTGTAAAAAAAAATCTGTAATCAGAGAATTACGAGTATTTTCAAATGTAGCATTCAAATATAATATGAAGAAGTGTATTCCAATTTATTCTAAATATCTAAATCAAATAATTTATTATAAAGTTAGGAAAAATTTCTAATTTTTCACTGCTTATTAATAGCGTCAGCAAAACGAATTAACGAAGTAGTAAAAACTAAATACTATTATTATTTTGTTTTGATTCGTTGATTGAGGATTATTTACAAGTGTAATTCTTCAAAAGTATTAAAGCAACTTCATTTTACATAAGTTTTAAATAATTTATTTTCTAATATTCTAATTAAGTCATCAAATCAAGGTAATGTGTAAATGCAAATGATACATTAAAAGTAGAAATAAAATAAATAATGAAGATATGAATAATTTTTACAAAATAATTGTTATATCTTAACAAAAGTGTATTTATAAATGAAAAATTAAAATAAATTATAAAGAAGTGCTGTATGTATGTATGTGTTTTTTTGATGACGTAATTAATAAGTTAACAAATTACGGAAAATATTAATTACGTCAACAAAAAAAATGTGTGGTGTATTTATAAATAAAGAATAAAAATAAATAAATAAATAAATAAAGAAGTGTTGATGTACGTGTGTGTGTGTGTGTGTATGCATTGTCTGTTGTCTGAAACAATTGCTTTTATTTGTTCTTGAATAGAAGGGGGAGGGTGTATCAGTTATGTAACGGGTGTTACGGGTGTTGTTATGGTATTATAATGTTCTTGCGTTCGGATGAAATGAAAAGACGCCACTGTGCTCCGCAAAGAGCGCTCGGAGCGACGCGCCGTCCGCTTCGTCCTTGTCTATCCCTGAGGAGACGAAGCTGTCTCCATCTCTGTCTCGTCTTCGGCCAGGCCAGGTGCCCGTGCTGGTATTCCGCCGCAGCCCGTGGGAACGGTTCAAGAAATGCTTCCCCACGAGCAATAGACCAGCAAACGCAACGGAGGCAAAGCCGGCAGCAGCAGCAGCGTGCCATGGGTATTGGCACAAGCCGGACATGAGGTCTTTAGATCGGAGGGTGCCAGACGCATTCCCGCATCCTCATTCTCCCCGCTCTATTTTGTTTTATTTTTTTTTTGCTACCCGATGATCGCAAAGGGACGTATCATTATTTCAGGAGGGAAATCATCGAAAAGGGTACCAACGGCGGGCGCCAGAAGTACGCCCCATTCAACTGCCGCCTAAATTGGTTTGTGTGTATATGAATGTATGCGCGCCCTCCCTTCAACATATACACACAACAGATTTTTGCATATGGAGGGAAACTTCACGCTCCAATTCCAACACCCCGACCAACGGTTTTATAAACCCTTTTGAATATTAAACTTTTTTTAATACAAACATAACAATTTGTCAAATTTTTATCAAAACTTTAATATTTCTATACAAATTATAAACAAAATTATTTTGTTCTACAATCAACTATACGTATTAAAAACAACATATTTTTGTTTACGCTGGGAAACTTCACGCTTCATAAGTAACCAACGGTTTACAAAAAATAATCTATGAATATTGAAACAATTCAAAACCACGGTTTTATAAATGATTTTGATTATAATATAAATCAAAGTTTCTTCAAATTTTATAAATAACTTTAAACGCATCAGATTTTCGCATATAAAAAGAAATATCATTCTCAGATTAGAACAGTCAAACAACTTCACTCATCACAATACATATTTAGATGTTTTTTTTTAAACAAATTCTTAAAATTATTCAGATTTCTACAAATAAAGTCAATTGGAATGTTTCAATTGAAAAACACTCAACAAAAACAAAATATACCTAATAAATTTCTATTCTTCACTTGATAGTGAACTAAGAAAATTGATTTATCAAAGTATATAGTAAATATTATGTAGCTGTCACTTGTCTATACATTTACTTATGCGGATAAACTGTCTGGCACCGACGGTGTTAGTACAATAGAGATTTCTCTCTAATCTGTTGACTACTAACCATACATTTTACCAGAAACGTAATTTCTCTTGTTATTATCTAATAATTGTAGGTACTTCTAAAAATGTAACTTATATTTTCAATAATACATTTGTATAGTTGATATTGTATTTTGCCTACAATAAGTGCACTTTTTTACAGAAAGAAATAGGTTTGGAATATATATGCGTTTTATAGACTAATAAAAAATGTTTTATCAATTTATAGTGAATTTTATATATATTATAATTGGAAATAATGCATTTTAGTTTAAATATTTTTGTTATAAATTTAATTTCTTGTCTCATTTAACTATAAACATAAGAAGTTGTAATTATATTTTAAATATTAATTATTATTGAAAATGTTGATGTAATTGAATTGTGATTGAGGCAATGAAATGTAATATTGTAGATCTTTTGCGTGTGGGCTAAGGGCTGAAAAAGTTAGGGTTGAAATTGGATGAAATGGACGCAAGAGAAGAATAATAGTGACAGAGGGTCTCGCAGCACGTCTTGCACGAGGGGCTGAATAATATGTAAAGTTATTTGGTGTTTTGTCCGGTCGAGTGAATTCCGTGAGATTCCCACAGTTTCGGTGGATGGCATGTGACCGTCACACGCTCGAACAATGGGGGAACCGAGAAACCCCCAATGCATACACGAGGGGGATGCTCGGGCCCAAGAAGAGAAGAATTGAACCGTGCTTGAAGAACCCCCCACCAAATATCCGGCCTAGCCATATAAAAACCATCGGACTAGCATTCCTCAACATCATTCATTCTCAACGAGTCTTGGTGAACGCATCGTGCGCTTAAGTTTACAACAAAACAGTTCAGTTCAGTGTAGAGACATGGCTCCAACCGCATACATGGTACCATCGGAATACAGCGAAGAACCCATCTCACGTACTTATCAGTACAGGAAAGTGATGAAGCCGATGCTCGAGCGCAAACGCCGCGCCAGGATTAACCGTTGCCTGGATGAGCTCAAGGAGCTGATGGTTACTGCACTCCAAAGCGAAGGCGAGAACGTATCCAAGCTTGAGAAAGCCGACATCCTGGAGTTGACCGTGCGTCATCTTCATACGCTCAAGAGACAACACCAGCTGGTCGTTCCCCAGGAGCAATCCTATGCGGATCGCTTCCGCGCCGGATTTACGCAGTGCGCTCAAGAGGTCTCCCAGTTCATCACAACACCAAGTGAAGTGATCGAACCCACCGCCGGAAAGCGTCTCCTTCAACATCTTGGTGCATGCGTCCAGCAGCTAGACACTGTCTCCACGCAAATGCAGCAGTACCCTCAACAAAGCTACACACCTCCAACATCACCGAACGCAAACGCAATTAATACACCCACGAATCAACCCATGTGGAGGCCGTGGTGAAAACAGCAACAACCATCGTTCGCATTCCAACTAGTTGTAATATCGAATCATCAATCATTCAGCTTTACCCACTTTTATATAAATGTTTTTTTCTCTTAATCTCATCGAGAGTTTATTAAGTTTTAGAAAATTTTAAATGATAAAAATCAATAATAATTAAAACAATGTCTTCCAGTACGAAAAATGTTTTACAAAAAAAAAAGATAAAAAAGAAAGTAGTTATTATAATACTGTAGCTTTAATTCTGTGATAATAAAAATGATCTATTTTGTAAATGAATTGTATATACGTACCTGAGGTATTATAGTATCTAACTAGTTATGTTTACTAGCAAATCCTTTAAATAAATAAAAAATTATTTGAAAATAACACAAACAATTTATTATTTTATAATTACCCACATCCCAAACAAACAAACTCATTGTTTAAAATAAACAAAACAAAAATGAAATTCTGAAAATTAACTATTACATATTTTTTTATATATTATTAAAACGTAAAAAAAAATTGGAAATTTATTGAAATCAAATTTAAAAAGTTTAAACGATTATAAAATTGTTTATAATAAATATTCATTATATAGATTAGTCGAATATTCTGCAAAATTTTAGTTCAAAAATATCAAAATTTGTTTTTAAGTAACATTACTAAATCATAAATACTTAAGTGTTTACAGAAATCCTAGAAGAAATGGCCAATAAAACAAATCTATTTTGGATGAATACGAGAATAGTTTTTTTTATATCGAAGAAAAGTTATGTATAAAACTATAAACTTTCAAAATAATTCAACATTTATAAATATTTGTAAAATAAAGAAATTGAATCAATATATTTTACAAATTCTCAATCAATAACAATCAATGAAAAATATATATATATGTGCATTTTTCATTATTGGCAGTGAAGGAAATATTAATTAAGTTAATGTAATTTATCGTTGAAATGTAATATTTACATAAAATCTATATTGAGTAATGAATAAGAACATTTTAAAAATATTATCCATAAAAAAACTGCATTTTCTTTTTCTCTTTGTTTAGAGTAAGAAAAGACCATAAATTATAAATTATGTCCGAGGACAAAAAGGAGCTTGGAAAATTGGCATTAGTTCTAGTCCGCAACTTCTTTTCACGACCTTTTCGCTCTCTGAAGACTTGAAAAAAAAAACATAAAGGTTTCGTCCAGAAATTTCCCCAGACCCAAAACATTATACAATTGATTTATGTACAAAAAAAAAGCATAGATATTTCATTGCATAAGATCAAAATGTTCATTTTAAATTGATTGTCATTACTGAAATTTAAATTACAGTATAACTTGTTTTTGTGCGGTCCATTTTTATGCGGTTGACGAAATCCAATCAATTCCAACGGCGTTGGCACCATTACAATGTCTTCTATCAGTGTCCATATTTACAGCCAGTTCACACGATTCTGTTAGTCGATTATGAACCAATTCATCATAAGAAGATGCGCGTTTTGGATTAATACAAGTAGTAGTGAATTATGTAAGTGCATTTTTGAAAATTTCTCCATATGTAAAATGAGAAATTCAAAGTTTTTAAAATGTTTCCATGTCTAATTTAATTATTTATTTTCTTTCTTATGTATTTCGTAAATATTTGACGTATATTCTAAGCGCGATTATTTATATGCGGTGCACCGAATAAAAAAAGTTTCTGTAATGTATTATACAAAGTTATTTATAAAAATTTCGAAAATTTTTATTGTGCGATTTTGTTATGCGCTCCCTATCTACCGCACAAAAACAGGTTTTACTGTATTTAATATATTTTATATAAAAATTTTGTAAATACAACGTTCATACTTTTTATACTCGTTTTCAAATGATCTTGACGAATGTTAATTTGCGAAACTGATTATTGCATATATGTTGAAGTTTGACCATTATCATATCATCTTACAAACATATATAAATGCAAATCTGGAGCGTTAGGTCAGTCAGTGTGTTAATGATTATGAATCGGCAAGCAATTCTCGTGTTATCAGTGATGGCTCTTGTAGCCAAATACAGTGATGGCCTTCGAAACGCGCATTGGAATACGAATTGGTCCCCATGCGCATCCGAATGCTTGGATTATCAACCGTATCAACTTGGTAATAAAATTGTGTTGAGATGTGTTAGTTATATAGGTAAGATTAGTTGAATAAAATAACGAAGAACATCTTAAATAAATTAGCGAATCGTTCAGACAGAAACGGCGCTTGTCCGGAGGATCATTGCTTAATAAATAACAGCAGCATCAGTCTGAGACACATTTTTTGTTCAGAAGACGTGGACTGTCCAAGCCCTTACAAATGCTGCAAAGACAAATGCAACCTGGATCACAATATATGCAAACAACCGATTTTTGTTAACTCCACCATAAGTACAATATAAATGTTTCGATGTAGCGAAAATTTTAATCTGTGAAATTTAATATTTTACCTTATCAAACTTTGTATCATTTTCAAATAAATCAGATTAGATTAAGGTGGGTTACCTTTATTTGCAACACAAACCCGTCATTCAATGCACAAAAATGAAAGTATACAGTTGGGTGGTGCCGCTTCTGTTCCTTGGAACTGCAAGTGCGTATTTTCATCACATTGGTATTGAGTGTCAAAAGTGGTGTTACTCCATGGTTGGAGACACAGTGTATTTGCAGTGCTGCAATTACAGAGGTAAATATTTTTATTTGTGTGTAGGAATTTTGTTATCAATACAACTTTGCGTTGCAGATAAACAAGGAGTATGTCCGAATGATTGCCTGGCAAACAACGGTAAATATTACAACTTTAGACAAATCGCCTGCAATTTGGACCAGAACTGTCCTTTCGGATACAAATGCTGTCGGGATAAATGCTACAGGTTCCACAAAATTTGCAAACCAGCAATCGAATATTTGGAATCAAAGTGTCCGAAATTGAATGGTACAACAACAATGACAACCACAACAACTACAACACAGATTCCAACAACGGAAACACCGACAACTACAACTACAGAGATTCCAACAACGGAAACACCGTCAACTACAGAGATTCCAACAACGGAAACACCGACAACTACAACAACAGAGATGCCAACAACTTTCGAAACAGAGATGCCAACAATATATGAAACAGATATACCAACAACATTCGAAACGGATTTCCCAGAAACAACGACCGAAGATAGTAACGAAATTATATCAGGAAGCGGATTCTATCCTCTACCAGAAGCGCAATTTTTCGATATCGATGATGACGATTTGTACTTTCAAAGTTAGAGGTTTTCCTTAAATGTTGAAGTAAATAAAAAGTAATATTTAATGCTTCAATAACATTTATGTAATTCGTCTATAAAATACCTCAGATAGTGCGGGTAATCGGTTTCGCCAATATCCGAGACAGTTTGAAATCGCTTCAATGTTTTTGAAAACCAAATAATAGAAAGTGGACAAAAAAAGACTTGACTTGATCATTTATGTATAAAAAAAATAATTTTGTGTACTAATTTTTAGAATTTATTTTTACTTTATCAATTAAAATTACGTTTGTTTTGAAATTTTCAAACCGGACTAAAGTGAATTCGGACTCTGCAAAGCCGCACTATGCGAGGTAATACTGTACATATTTTGAGTTTATAAATAAAGTTTTTTTCAGCGTGGAACAAGTTTCTTTTCAGTCTTTATATCAGTGTTTCTCAACCTTTTTGCAGGGCGATCCAACATATTTCTTTATAGTTGTACGGTGATCCAATTGGTAACAGCTTTACACCAATTTGACACATGGTGACAGCTGTCATGACTTAATTTGTGTCTCAACCAATAGGTTGAAAAACGCTCATTTCTATTATATAAATGTTTGGGAAATACAATATGTGTTATATAACTTTTACGCTTTCAATAATCAAATCAATATTTATTTACACGAATGTGTAATATTATCTTAATGTAAATAAAAATTATGATAACAGTGTATGAAAAAAAATCATATATTTTTTTTTAAATGTGACCCAACATTAATGTAGGATAGTAAATAGAAACGATGTCGTTACATTTAAGTGCAATTATATATTATCTTACATAAAACATCATAAAGTATAAATAGCACGATGTGCACGAGAGCATTTAGTTCAAAATGCATCTCCGCAAATTTACTTTTTCACTATTATTATTATTAATATTATTGTCAATCAATTTGAATGCAGCAAACATCTGTCAAAGTTGGTGTTACAGACTTTCGCCGAACAGATTGTATTTGGTCTGTTGTAATTTCAATGGTAAGGATTTCGATTGATCGATATCAAATAGCTTCGAAATTCTATATTTGCAGAAAAATTCGGTTCCTGTCCTAGAAACAAATGCTTATTCGAGAAACCCTTCTTCGATTTGAGCTTACTCTCGTGTAACAGCGACAAATCTTGTCCTCCAGGCTACAAATGCTGTCCGGATGATTGTTACGTCTTCTCAAAAATTTGCAAACCTCTAATTACAAATATTCAATATACGACTACAATGAATCCGGAAACCACAACAGATCTAATGAAAATTACTGATGTATCTACTATGAACGCTACAGATATTACTGTACCAAAAGATGAAGACACAACAACAACAATAATAACAACACAATCAATAAGTATGGATACGACAACAGAAGATACAAATACATCACAAGAAACAACAACACAATCGATAAGTGTGGATACGACAACTGAAGATACAAATACATCACAAGAAACAACAACACAATCCATGGATACGACAACTGAAGATACACAAACATCACTAACAACAACAACGGAAGAGAGTCTTCCTCCTGAAGCTTAGTAAAGCAATCGAAGCAATAATTTACTTCTGTTCATAATTAAACTAAGGTTTATATATAGTGTTATTTATAATGAATATATTTTTTATTAAAAAAAATCTTACTTATGTACAAATACTTAAGTATTCCTCCAATTTATAATAATCCTTAAATAACTATTGCTAAACAAGAGTTTTTACTTAATTATGTTTATTAAGATGACACTTATATCGAACATCTTCAATAGCAGTATTGAATAGTGATCTGATATTTCTATAATCTGTTTTTTACCTAATTATTTTATGAAATAAGCAAAAATACTTAAGTTATCTTATTCTAAGGTAAATACAATATTTTGCAAGATCATATGTTTAATTTTTCACAAACGTTATCTAAAAAAAATACTGCAGTTAGAAACTATTTATTGGTAGTCAAGTTACTTTTATCCTGACATTCCGTTCGTCCACAACTACAACGATGAAGCTTTTATTACTAGGTGTAATTCTATTAGTCGTTTATGTAGAAAGTTATAATCAATGCCAAAAATGGTGCTATTATGTGTACTTTGGAAAAATAGTGTTGAATTGTTGCAGTTGTGATGGTAATTACTTATTATGATACTTATCAAAAAATATAACTTTGATTTATAGAGAAAGTAGGCACGTGTCCAATTGGATGTTTGGATCGGAAAGGGCAGTATCAACTTTGGGGAATTGCATGTAACACGGATCATAATTGCCCATTTGGTTATAAATGTTGCAGAGACGATTGCTATCGGTTTCATAAAATTTGCAAAGCTGCTGAATTGTGGAGTTATAAGGAAGAAAGTACTACTTCTAGTAAGATTCCCACGACCAAAACAACTACAAAAATTCCTATAACTATGAAGCCAACTACTGTCATTCCAACCACTACCCAGATATTAACTGATACTCCCGAAGATTCAACACCACCGACAACAACTACAATATCAATGGCGACAATGACAATACCAACAACAACAACCTCAGCAACTACTACAACGGAAATACCAATCACAACTGAAATACAGGATTTAACAACTACCACTACAACAGAAATACCAATCACAACTGAAATGCAGGATTTAACAACTATTACAACAGAAATACCAACAACAATACCAGCAACTATTACTACAACAGAAATACCAATCACAACTGTAATGCAGGATTTAAACGAGGATGAAGATGAAGGTTCAGGAAGCCTAATCCTAAATTCAGGGTCCTCAGGCATGATTTCGTTTGTCGATTCTAACGATATAGATTTGTATTTCCAAAATTAGCGTTAATCATCAAAATTTAACTAAGAACTAATTCGAGTATATAAAAGTACGGAAACCAATTTGTTATTTTAATATATCAATCTATACATATATTTGAAAATTTTTATCTAAGCTTTACTTATAATACTTATAAATAAATATTGTGTAATTATTGTATTCACCTAATAAACGTCTTTAAATATTGTTATATAATAATGTAAAACTTATTACTTTCATACAAAATAAAATACATGTTAGTTCATACTCTTGCTCTTATCCAATTGTAAATAGTAATGACGATAATATTATTACAAATCGTACAGGATAGAAAATAATTATGTTGTAACTGTTCAAATATATAAATTATATCTTTAAAAAAAAAAGTTTAATTTAAAAATTTGAACTTTTGTAACGATAGCGGATGACCATGGATAAGACTGTTTATATAGCACAGATCGCGCACTAAACACACACACATCTTTCCGCTTGTCTGTATTTTTTTTTGCAGCGAGAACGCACGATCGCCGCATTGGATTTTCAACGCTCCCGGTGTGGATTAGTCAACGAGTTTTGTTGTTGATTTAATTATGTAAATCGGGCGTGGGAACCGACGAACGCAAACGATTTCTTTCACTTTCGACAAATCGTTAGATTTTCTTCTCTTCCTTCATTGCATGTCCGTTACGCAACTCGAGTTGTCTATAATTTTTTTCTACGCAAACTTAACCTTATGAAAATTATTATTATTAAATGTATATTATATAAAATATATATTATATTTTAAAAAATTAAAGAAATTAGGCATTTCCAAATAAATGAAAGGCATAAATCCACGAGGAATAGTCAAAATTTGTAAATAAATAAATAATTTACTTATTGACAAAATTGTTAAAAATGAACATGGAATTATTGGCTCAAATCAAAACTTTTAATTAAAAAGTGAATTTTAAGTATTAGTTAACCTTGTGTGTTCACTTCTTTATTTATCTATTTTATTTGAAATTTTATTCGATTTTCACAGAAAGTTCTGAAAGTTTTAAACAATATTAGATTTTCTTATCTTTCTTCATTGCATGTCCTTTACGCAACTCGAGTTGTATATAATTTTTTTTCTACGCCAACTTAACCTTATGAAAATATTATTACATTTATATTATATAAAATATAGTTCGGTTTTCTAACATTAAATCATAATAAAAAAAAAGTTTCGATTTTTAAACGAATCAAGTAAATGAAATTTTAGAACATGTAATTTTTTGGTTTAGATAATAAATCTTTGATTGCGTCAAAGATAGTTTTGGAAACTAATCAAATCGTTATCTTAGTTTGTTCGGTTTTCTAAGATTTTATACTGAAAGTACTGATTATTAATGGAGTCTGAGACTAAGGTAACAACGTTTTAAAAATAAGAATTGCAGATCTCAATTTTTGTAATTTAAGGCAAATGCAGATGCAAAAGGTGAATAGTCATTGATCTACATTTAGACAAGCAATACTAGTTGGTACATCTGTCAAATATATGTGGATCTTGTCACAAACGTGAGGATGATAAGTAAACGAATAAGTAATCAAACTATTTTTTGTATTGTTTTTGGATCAAGGTTGCGATAAGTATGAAGTAGTAATCAAGTTATAAGTGCGTAAGTTCGAGGCAGTTTCCATAGTCCAATAGTTATCGTCGATGGCGAAAATTGTGGATGTCTGCAAATCGACGGAATAATCGGAAGCGGGGAATTCTAATAAATAACCGGAGCACAAATTACAATCAGTGTAATTGTGCGCGTGTTAAACAAGAGGAGGAAACGCGTCAGCGCGCCGCCTCCCCCCGTACCACGTCGCGGCCCCCGACACCGGCACACTTGATGCATGGGAACGCCACTTGTTGATCCTTTCACACGCGTGCAGCCGATGCGTCACTTTTACATATGCATGTGATACATTTTTAGTAACAACACACGTGGTATGGGGTTTTCTAATTTCAATATACAGAAATAAACACGCGACGAACGTTCTTCATACACACACACAAGCATAAACCAAAACAGCAACAGCAGCACTTAAGCACAGACATAAATACATATGCATCCATGGACAGTGGAGAGGAAATAAAGAACGCGACGTTTGCAAAATAACGTCCACCAGGATGTTTCTGTTTTACTTTTGCAAGACAATTAACAAACGTCATTCAAAGGTTTCGTATCTGCATAAATGCATACAATTCCTCTTCCTGTTGTCAACCACCGACAATAACATTACTACAATAACCAAGAAATAATGGATATGAAAAGTTCATTACTTGATTTTCAAAGCTATAAAGGTGTATACACACTATATCTAATAAGTATACGTTTCCACCTTTAACAAATAATTAACACAAGAATTAATTTACAATCATTGCTAAAAACTATACTTTGATTCATATGTACTACACAGATTTGTAATGATTTGTTTAATTATTTTGTTAATTAACCAATTAATTAGTATTAATTGTGCCAATACAAAATGTAAATAAACAAATTTACAATTTAATAAGAATTATTATGAAATAGATATATTTCTATTACATATAATAATTTTCAGTAAAGTATGAGTAAAGTTTGAATAACCTAGATTAGAAAATAAACATTGCAAATTTTACATAAAATAAAAACAGTTAACATTCATAATACAAAATTTAAAAAAATGAATTTAGTTTTTAAATATGTAATCGAAAATGCAGACATAGGAAGTGCATTTTTTCGAAAGAAAACCGAAACGTAGTCATATTTTTACATGTGTCACATAATGGTTACCAAAGAGCGTTTCGAAGGTCGGTTGATCTATATAAAGAGAAACCGAGGAGGAAAAAAAAAGGAGCATAAGCCAGAAGAATTCGAGGGTTGTAAAATAAACAAGGCATTTAGTGACGTGCGCATGATTTATGGATTGAAATTCTGATACCATTTTCGGCTTTCACAACATAATCTGTTTCGTTTTAAACACAACTCATTTTGCTCTCTTTCTCTCATGCATTTTGATTCAAATATATTTATTATTTACAGACTTGTTTAAAAAAAAACGTTAAAGCAAAAAATAACAGAAGAATGTTCTGTAAAATAACAGAAGAATGTTTAGTTTACATTATTTGTAAATTCTGCGGGTACGACAATTCATTGAAGTTCATAAAATTATATGTATATTGTGCATCTGCACATATAAAGTCATAAGTAAAACACATTTATATTGTATTCAAGTAAATAAGAAAATAATCAGAAAGTAAAGTGTAGTTTATATACTGGAAATATAAAAAAATATATACTAAATATTCAACAGTACCTCGCATAGTCCGGCTTTGATTAGTCCGTATTCACTATAATGTGATTAAATTTAAAAATATATACTAAATATTCAACAGTAGCTCACATAGTCCGGCTTCAATTAGTCCGTATTCACTATAATGTGATTAAATTTAAAAATATATACTAAATATTCAACAGTACCTCGCATAGTGCGGCTTCGATTAGTCCGTATTCACTATAATGTGATTCAATTTAAAAATATATACTAAATATTCAACAGTACCTTTCATAGTCCAGCTTCGATTTACTATAATGTGATTAAATTTAAAATTGATTAAAAATAACGTCTAAAAAATTAGTACACAAAATTATTTTCTTGATTTTTTTTGAGAGAGAGGAATTAGTACAGTTTTTAAACATTCCGGACTATGCGAGGTATTATGATTCTTAAACTAGATTATTGAATTAAGTTACTTTGTACAGAATCAATCTGGATTTCAATCAACATTAAATCCACTTGAAAATTAATTGACACTCAAAACAAGTGGATTCTGTTTATTTAGAAGCTCATGGAAGCAAAGTTTCGACATTGTTTTATGTAATAAATCACATTACGTTATTTCAGATAAACTACTATTCAGAATAATAATGATTCAGTTTTCAATCTCAATAATTATTTTATTTTCAATCTCCTGATTAAAAAAAATATATTAATTAAAAATAAAATCAAACAAATATATTTTTTAACAATGTTTATTGCATTAGTCTTACAAAAAAACATATAAAAATATAAAAAGAACAAAATATATATATATATATAATTTCAGAAAAGTCAACTGATACAAAGGGCTATTGGCCAGAGCTCATTCTGTCCGGGGAATAATAATATAAAAAAATATATTTGACAAAATTAAAGAAATTATGATTTAGTAATCTCGATCGGTGGCAATCGCAAGCCCGACAACCGAAATCCAGTCTATCGAAATCACGACACTCAAAGTCCCGACTATATCGAAATCCCCACAGTGTCTTTTATTATTATAAATTTCTACAATAACATTTTTATGGTAGTCGGGATTTCGATTTAGTTGGGATTTTGATTAGTCGGGATTTTAAGCATCGGAATTTTAATACAGCCGAAATTTCGAACGTCGGGATTTCGATACACTCGGGATTTCAATAGACGGTCTTTCGGTTGTCGGGCTTGCGATATAGACCCAATCTCGATAGTATCAAAATCCTGACAGTATCTTTTATTATTTGATATAGACTTATTCATAATAATAAGCCTTAACAATAAGAAATAATATAAAATACAATTAGATTATTAATTATTTTTATTTATTGTTAATAACAATATATTATTATTGTATTTGTTTAAGATTATGATTGTCGGGATTTCGATATTGTTGGGATTATGGTTGTCGGGAATTTGGTTATTTCGATACACACCCGATATTTTTAGTACAAAATTCATAATAGATTTGTTTGATGTACAGGTCATCTGTTTTGATGTGTTTTATATTTATTTATATTTTTTTATTACTACTTTCAACAATCCATAGTTCTCATTAGAATCATTATTACCAAATCATAGACCAATGAATTATTAAAAGAATTAAAACATAATTAGATAAAATTAAGTTCTAGACAAATTGAATAGTTCTTTATATGATAAAGACAAGTCTTATTATAAAAAAACTCAATTTTTTTTCCTGGCAGTATCTTTTATTATTTGATATAGACTTATTCATAATAAGCCTTAACAATAAGAAATGATATAAAATATAATTAGATTATTAATTGTTAATAACAATATATTATTGTATTTGTTTAAGATTATGATTGTCGGGATTTCGATATTGTTGGGATTATGGTTGTCGGGAATTTGGTTATCTCGATACACACCCGATATTTTTAGTACAAAATTCATAATAGATTTGTTTGATGTACAGGTCATCTGTTTTGATGTGTTTTATAAATGAAACGAAGGTGTAACACAAAAAAAAACAACGTGCACTTTGCACTAAATATATTTTTGGGAATTCGAGGCGAAAATAGACGAAGCTATAATTGTGTGATAATTGCAGTGCGAGGCAAGAACTATTAAAAATAACAGCGCATAACAAAGAAAAGCCGTTGAGGCGCGCGCGCGCGCCTTTTCTCCGCTCGTTATTAATTATTTATACATGTCCCTTAATATATCTGCACTCGATTATTTTTAGTTGCGACTCTTCTTCGGCTTTATTTGTGTTTTGTATTTCTCTTCTCTCTTTTTTTTTTATTTGTATATATGTATATATTTCTGTTCAGTGCCATGAAAATAAAACAATATGTTTGGAAATTATATTTGGAATGGCCATATAATTTTTAACTATTCTCACCGTCTAAATTTAGAATTTTCTTGTAACATATGTTTATTAGTGGGGGAGATTTTCTATATATAGTGGGTTTGGTGTAAAATGCGCCATTCTTTAAACCACCTCCGATGAGCACGGCTCGACTCTTCTCTCCGAATTTTTATAAATACACACGCCGAAGAACCATGTCGTCGGAGATACAGTGCAACAACATCACCAGCTCCAAGAAGAACAAGCGCACCACCAAAGCAGTCAAACACTCCAAGTCTTTAGACGCTATAAAGAAAATCATCACAGAAACCTCAGATGTAAGTCAACAATAACAAACAATTATAAACAAATCTCTAACTATAATTTCATTTTTCAGATTGAGAATTGTCCGAATACCAGCGACAAAACGGCAATCCTGAAATTAGTCAAACGGAACCTGCAGAAAATGTGCTTGACAAAGTCCGGGCCTCAAACTGAAATAGTTGCGCTTCACGACAATATATTGAGCAACAATTCGGATGGTGCCACCAATATCATTCAAGTTTTCCGATACGAGAACAGGAGTCGCTCCACCAAGGAGCTCTTAAGGAAGACCATTCTTGAACGGAGGAAGTGTTCGGAATATGACAACCTGCACGCTGATTATATGCAGAAGCAGAAGATCTGGAGACCTTGGTAAGGTCCCGCCACGAATGTTTTTTTTTATTACTGTTTATTTCCTTCGAAAGGGACCAATCGATATTGATTAATGTGATTCAAAAAAAGAGCTTTAAATTTTATATATTATTATAATTATTATATTCTATACGTGTTTTTTTTTCTCTGTATTTTCTTCTTCTTGACTTTTCTTATATTTTTTATATAATATATGTGTATAAATGTGTTTATTAAATATACGAAATTTTATATAAACAATTGTTGTTTTAATTAAATTATTACCCTAAAAAGGCGTTTTCCAAAACTAGACTGAAGAGAAGCGCGAATATTAGTCATAGTGAGCAATTTTCCAAATGACTGCTAAATATTTATCTATGTTATGAAGTGGCGTGAGGAGGGGAGGCGCCAAATGGTTAACAATCAAGTTTCAACAAACATTGAAAATAATTATAACACCCTCAACTCTAGTGAAATTGAATACTACTCTAATTAATTAATTATTAAAATATTAATCTAAATATTTTTTAAATTAATACTTTTAACAATCCATAGTTCTTATTAGAATCATTATTACCATTTCATGGACCAATGAATTATTAAAAGAATTAGAACATAATTAGATAAAATTAAACTCTAAACAAATTGAATAGTTCTTTATATGATGAAGACAAGTCTTAATATAAAAAACTCAAATTTTTATTACAAATATTGTTAAAAATCTTTATAAAAAAAATCAAAACTTTTTAAATTTCCATAATTCTCAGTGAAATATGAATCAATTAGAAATAAAAACTAAAAGGAAACAAATTGAATATTTTAAAAATATTAATTAAATTCAAAGACCTTCATTTTCTTATTATTGTTATTTGTTTATTTATATAATTCATAGTTGTTGCAAGAAATATTATTATAATTTATAAATTGAAATAAATGAAATTAATTAATTAAAAAAGTTCTTAACTGTGTTTGAATTATTCTAAAAAAATATCATAAATATTAACGTTAGTATAACAGTTATTAATACTTAAGTTTATATTTTAAATTATGAATGTTAACAAAATGTATTTGCACACAGTATTGAAACTTAGTTGATAGAATAAATTCTATACTACTTCTAAATCTTAAATAATTATGCTTAAGTATTTTCTTAGAACAGTTCTAAATATTTCTATCAATACATTCGCGCCATCTAGTAACAGATCTCTAAACTATAAACCATTTACTAATTGTGCATTATTACTTAATTATGCAACAAGTATCGTGTTAGGAAATAAATCATTACTGTTTACAGTTACCTGTGTTAATTTTAAAGTAAAATTCAGTTGCAATACACGTTTATAAGAAAATTTACAAACCGATACTTAAGAATCAAGCTTATAAGTTAATTACGCAATGACCCGTTGCTAAATGACTATAAATTATATTCTTTATCTTTTTAGTAAAATCACTAGAATTCAGAATTATTAACATTTTTCAGGTCAATAAAAAATATTTTTTAAATTTTCTATTGTTTAAATCAACATTATTTGGTAAATAAATTATTTATTCTCTAAAATATTAAACTTTTTTTTAAATAAATTGTAATTAAAATAATACTTAAGTTAGTTTAAAATAAATTTAATAATGTTATAAGTAATAATTATATTATTATTAATTGCATCTTATTTTAAAATCACTCACTTAATATTTGTTAATTTGAAAAATTAACAAAGTAATAACAAAAGTTAATTAAGTAACTTCAAATTTGACTAGTGTAAGAAAGGTGTCGCTGTGATCAAATTTACAAAAGAAAATTACATAATATTAAATTTTCTTTTGAGAATTTAAACCTGTATTGGAAAACTAGTTAAACAAGAGGTAACAATTAATTTGTATTATTTATATAAATTATAGAGGTCTATATCGCAAGCCCGACAACCGAAACACCGTCTATTGAAATCCCGACTGTATTAGAATCTCGGCAACCATAATCCCGACAATATCAAAATCCCGACTATATTGAAAATTTTTACAATAACATTTTTACATAATTTCGGAGCGTTCATTATTAATAACAATAAATTATTTGATTTTGTTGAATTATTCATAATAAACCTTAACATTGTGAAATAATCTCAAATACAATTATATTATTAATTGTTATTATTTATTATTAATAACAATTTAAAGGTGACTACGCTCCAGAATAATTTATAAATGTTATTGAACAGTCGGGATTATGGTTATCAGGATTTTGATATAGTCGGGATTTCGATACAGTCGAGATTTTAAACGTCGGGATTTCGAACGACGAGAATTTGATTGACGGTATTTTGGTTGTCGGACTTGCGATTGCCACCGATAAATTATAGTGCTAATATAAGTATAGTTGGTTGCCTAGGTGAATACTAAATGATTCCAATAAGATTCCAACAAAAAAACTATGACTTAATGAACATATTTAGATAATAATTAAAATGGATAAGCATGCAGATTTACTTTTGACTTGTTTTTTTTAATTAAATCTGTAATTAAACTTGAAGAAATTTTTATTATATTTAATTGTAATCATACCATTAAGAAAATAATAATAATTTGATATTGTCTTAAAACATAAAGAATTCATAGTATTCTATACAATTGTGATGTATTCGAAACTCAGACTAAATAAATAAATTGAAAGAATTGTTCTTAGAAATGTCTTTTTCTTTAAGCTATAGTAATAACAAAGGATTATGTTGTTTATTAAGTTTATTTGATTAAAAATTGGGTAAAATTTAAGAAAAAATGTCTATTCTTTAAGTAATTTTCTATATGATTTCTTCAACACTCAGAAATTAACAAACTAAGAAACATGTTTGTGTTATATAATTTAATTGATAACATTTCATTGGTCCGGTTGACAACATCCACTGATTTATTTTTTCTAACATATCAATAAGCATTGATAAACGTTATTTTATATTTAAATATGAAAAAGGGATAATATTAAAAAAAAAATGATTTGATTTATCTATGAAAATAAAATGTATTTGTTAAAATAAATCCAGAATTAATATAAATATTCATCAAGAGAAAATACACAAAGAATGAGAGTTGATCATCTTCAGAGGCAAGCCTTCAAAGTACAGATGGCATTGTCACCGCGTTCGTTGCAAATACAAGTATTACATTCCTGCTTGAAAGTCTCTCTGGGTGTGCATTTGATTTCTATAACAAAACATGAAAGAAAAACAGTAATTATCAATGATGATAGCAATTAAGTAACATTCCGCGAGCATTAATTAATTCGAGATACGAAAAACAACTTTAAATGAATCGAGATGCTTACGTCTCTTCTCCAAGCAGCGCTTCCTGGTGCAAGCCCATCCACCGTTGACGCATTTGCAGGTGTTGCAGGATTCCTGCTTAACATCACCAGCCTTGCAATCGGATTCAGAGTCTGCAAGAACAAAAAAACATTATTAAATAATCCCATTGAAAATAATTTATTGTACTTACAGGCAAGATCGACGATGGCCAAGACCACGAAGAACATGCAGATCAAAGTTACGCACTTCATGTTTGATTTTTCGTTTTGCTTTAGTACTTTTTTTAAGCGAAGATTTAGTTATGGCTGTAATCGGATCGGCGTCGGCTTATATACCGATGATCTTCTAGGATTTGGTGGGGATCGAAGATGCGATAACCCATTTGGACGGACAGGATAATAAGACCTTGACGATTCGTTTTTGTATACAAATATCGGAAACTTCGCGGAAACGTTATTAAATAAATACATGCTAGAGGTGCAGAATTAATTAGCATGTACTTTATTATAATTGTAAGTTTACAAATTATCTAATTGTTATTACACAACAAGATTTATGGAAATTTGAACTGGTTCGAAATTTTAAGTTGTAGATGTGAACACAAATGAACAATTATTTAATGATATAAAATGATATGGGGATATTTTTTACTTCATCAACGGTTAATAAACAAACAAAATATAAACAGATATGACTTAATAATAATAATAATAAACAAATGTCACTTTGAAATTTCTTAGAGATTAGTGAAAAGTTGCGTCTAAAATCTAGAGATTAAACATTTCTTAGTTAGCGAATCAAGTTTTGGTATTCATTTTGAGGTCAAGTATGGCTTCAAAAGAAACGTGTACTTCAAATGATATGTAAATATTAATTTATTGAAATAATTATCATTCAAATTCTGTCCGTTCTTCGTCCGCAGTACAAAATAATAATAATAAACAAAATAAACAAATTTTATGTATTCGTAGAACATTGCCACAGCATTTGAATCTTCGCACTTCGCATCAAACTTCTGATAATACAGTTCAAGTTTATGTTGATACGAATGCCTCTGGTAAATAAATACGAAGTGAGAGAAAAATAAAAACGTTGACAAACAGTGGAACTTTCTCTAAATAGAAGATTTGGATTTGGAAGCGAATAATTCGAAAATCAAACAGATAGGATTCTTTCTGCACGTGCGAACAAAGTGTTTCGAATTTCATTGGTATCGGATGGATATTTGCGTCATGCGCTACAGGACTTTCCGAACAACACAATGCTTGATTTCTTAATTAATTTTATCGACGTTTGCGCGAGATTACTTGTTACAAGCGTTTACATCAATTATGGACACATGCTGTCATTGAATCAACATTTATTATGTATTTTATTTACTAACATTTGTCAAGAATATTAGTTGAGAAACTATTATCGTTGAATGTTTTTATTAATTCAATTCAACAAAATTTGATTATTTTATTATATTTTTCAGGATATAGCAGAGAACAATGCTACATGGACAAATATGATATAGCTCATTTTCTTCAGAAAACTACACGTTAATACAGAGATCGACAAACCGCGGCTCTTTTGATGACAAAGTATAGCTCCAGGCGTCTCAATCAAAAAAGTAAAAAAATGGAGTTCAAGAAGAAATTCAATTCAATCAATTTGTTCAGCAAAATTTGATTATTCTACTGAAATATATTAGAAACATACTAGTTCTTTTGTCGTGGCCGACCAATTTATTGTCATCTATTGTATAACTAATATGTTTATTTGTTAGGGCCATGACTTTCCTCTTAGTTATTACAAACTATATTTTTGTTTTTGGAGAAGAAAATATTTCTCATATTTTGCAGTATACATATTCTCGATATTGTGTAAGAAAACTTGTTGTTTTATGTCCCTTTTTCAGATTGGGAATGTACTAAATGTTCTGTGTTTTTAACAGTTTATATAATTTGCTTACGTATTATGTTTTAATTTTCTTTTGATGAGAAAAATGCTCTCTACTTCAACTTGGGAGGTGTTGTGTCCAACCGCTTTATTATTAATTACTGATATGTATATATATACATACCAATAAGTACCATGTGTACTATTGATCAAGTATAGTCTTGTGGAAAGTTCCCACAACACTTTAATACATTTTATATTTTTCAGGATATCACAGAGAACAATGCTTCATGGACTACTTATATTATTTGATATAGCTCATTTTCTTCAGCAAACTACATGCTAATACAGAGGTTAGCAAACCGTGGCTCTTTTGATGACAAAGTGTAACTCCCAGCGTCTTATTGAAAGAAGTAAAGGATCATTTGTAATAGAGTTCTAGAAGAAATTCATTTGAACATTATGAATTCTCCTCATTGCCATTAACTAAAAAAGTTGGAAATTCTCTCCCCTCGTTATCACCTCTTTTTTTAATTCTCTCCCTTATCCTCAACTAACCATTTAAAATTGCGGCTCCCTAAACTTAAAAAATGGCTCTTTGCTCCAAAAAGGTTGCCGATCGCTGTGCTATTATTATTTCTGAAAATCTGTAATAAAATTGTTCAATTTTAAGTTAATACAGTCAGTAAAACGAAATTTTACATATATACAAGTAAAAATAATGATAAAGTGTCGTAAGATAAGTATAATTTGAATTTTTTCGACTTACGAAAAACCATTTGGAAAGGAACTAAAACGTAAGTATTGCTGTTTCAGTAAATTATTTCAAGTTTTTTAAATTTGTTATAGAGAATATATAGAATTCTACAATTCTACTTACTTATAGAACACCTGTATTCATTTTGGATCAATTTTATCCTCTTTACTTTTTTAAATAGTATTTTGTTGATTTCTCTTTACAATTCGATAAAAATAATCCATTCCCAATATTTATTTTTTCCATAAGAAATAGTTTACCACAAATATCTATGAATACTTCTCAACAATATAATTATGTTTCTCTAACTATTTCTTACATCACGTAAGTTAACTTTCTAGTTTCGTTCGAGTTTTTAATTGTCACATATCTAATTAACTGGAGAAATATGCGTCATAGTTAATGTAAGTGTATAGAAAGAAATTTTATTATAGTATAATTTTAAGAACAATGTGTAATTTGCAAATAAAACTCACTGCATTATCATAGAGAAAAAAATTCTTATTTACCTTGATATTTTCAAGTATACAATAGGATAATAAAAATCTAAAATACTAAATATGCAGTAGATAACACATATTTAAACAATGCTGACTTAAATCAAAATATTCGAGAAAGTTAAATATAAAGAAATAATTTCAACAGAAAACAACGAAATAAACAAATAAAACGGAAATCTGCTAAACGATGCAAATATTGTAACATCAAAGTATTTATCTATTAGATTTGATTGATAACTAAATTTTACAACAAAAATTCTAAATATAAAAATCAACCTCCAATGAAATTAATTATGATTCCACAATTTTTCTATAAATTTCTTCAAATAATCTTTCTTGAAAATTATATACATATTTATTTTATTAATTATAATGAAAAAACAAATTGTTTCAACAAATTTTCTCGAAATGAAAACATTTATGTTTGGCTTTAAGCCCGACAACCGAAAGACCGTCTATTGAAATGCCGACGTTCGAAATCCCGACTATATCAAAATCTCGACAACCATTCACCCGACAAACATAATCCCGACTTGTGTACTAAATGCCTTCTAAAATATTTTTTTCCAAGAAATTATACATTATAATTACATAAGATAGTATTTAAACTGATGTAATAGATAGTGGGTAAAATATTCATGTAATAAGAATGAGCGCGCGTTCACAATGGTTAAAAATGCTATTGTAGACATTTTCGATATAGTCGGGATTTTGATACAGTCGGAATTATGGTAGTCGGGATTTTAATATAGTCGAGATTTCGATACAGTCGGGATTTTGAACGTCGGGAATTTGATTGACGGTATTTCGGTTGTCGGGCTTGCGATTGCCACCGATTTGTTTTTGTTATTTATTACATTTATTTATAGCAAAGAATGCAAGAATTAAATTGCAATATTTGTAATTCCTCATTGATTTAACCTTAGATAAATATAAAGTTTCGCTCAATTATATTTATAGCAAATTATTTTGCATTAGCAGCTTATTTACTTTAAGTTGGAGTCAGAACTGCGATAATTAGAACCGCAATAATATTGACGAGAAAAATATCATATTCTCAAAGGTTAAATCGCTCTTGAGTTCTGTTTACATTTAAAGCAAGCATTAGAACCTCTACATCTCTAGGAAATTCGAGATTTTCATAGAATTTGTAAACCTATATTTTGTTTAATTATTATCTTCTTTTGTATAATCAAATTATTACATTCAAATGTTACTTTTCCATGAAAATTAATAAATAAACAATAATATTATTGATTACATCAACTGTGATAATTCAATACAGATGATAAAAACAATCTAAAAATAAAATCAATAGTCATTAAGTTGCTTAGATATTTTTGGTAGTGTTTGATTCTTGAATTTTAATTTAAGTTTAATTATTAAGAAAATGTGTAGAAATGATTACGATAATACTCATAAATTCCAATTAAAAATAAATAAATAAACATTAATAAAACAGGAAGTTTTTGATACAAAGTTTAAGATCAGTGAAAAAAGAAAACTAGAAATTTAAAAAAAAAATAGAGAAATCTACACAGATTATGTTTATAATTACAAGTCTGTGAGCACGATGTCGCTGGAGTGTCCTTAAATACAAACTTTTACTTTGATTACAATTCTTTGAAAAGAAAAAGTATATAAATGTAAACGTTTGATAGATATATAGATCAAAGGTCATAATGATCTGGCGATTTCTATCTGTACTATTTAATTTTCTGCATGTAATGTAATGTAAAAACGAAACTATACATGTATATGGAAAGTAATGATAGTTTAATACCGCACAAAATAAGAAACAAAAGCAACTCGTATGATATGTGACCTGAATTTCTCCCTTGAGTATTTTCTCGAAAGGAGGAAGATCTCTTCATTTGGGTGAAAGTTTTCAATTAAAACGCTACAAGATAGTTGTTCAGTCCGGCGAGGTATACGGTCGGGTGGAAAGCCCAGCTCCCAAAGATATAATACACTAAATCCGATAAAGTAAAGTGGCAGATAAGGAAACGGTGGTATTTAAGCGGCAGTTAATGAAACGCACATCGTATTTGTTCTTGTATTCCTCGGCTATTTGTTAGAATGGCCCCAAAGGACTTTATCCAGGCCAACGGAGCCTCGACATTCCCGTACGATATTAAAGATGTTGAGCCGGAAACCAACAGCCAGTTACTCTCCGATTTCTCAGGTAAAATCTTATATTTTGTTACTTCTTCTTCAATATTAAGTACCTCTAATATATCATATAATATTACTTATTCTTTAAAATCTACTAATTCTTTCCAACTTTAAATTTTCAAAATGAAATTTTTAATTTGTATATATTTATACATTGATTATAATTTTTATTAGTAATAAATTTTTAATTTAAAAACAAACATCTATCATATTCCTTCTTTTTTTAATTTCATTTTGATTCAGTTCTATTTTTTAACAACAATGTAGAATTATTGAATTTGGGACAAAGTCGGAAAACTTGTATTGTTTCGAGTACTTTAATATGTAGAAGTAATTGGGTAGAACAAAAAAGGGAGGAATTTTAACTCGTTCCGCCGTTGGCTTTTAAAGCCTTAAAACAAACAAGATTTAAGTCTTAAATAATTATATAATAATTCTTTATTACGTACTTTTTAATTATGTACTCTTCATTACTAAATATTTTAGCACACAAACAAATAATATGAAAAATCACGTAATTACATATTTAAATTACTCGTTTCCGCTTGTGTAATTCGTAAATTCGCAAACATCTTAATACCTCCGTAAATAATTACGCAACGCGATTGTTATAAAAATCTCGGATTAAAAAATTCCTGATTGTCACTTTGTTTACCTTCGTAATTAATCAGGTGAGAGGACGGGCTTCGTGCAAGTGGGACCAAAGAAGTATTTCTTCCCAATAAAATACCGATCCGATGCGGAGAACATTTACAACTTCGAGGTGAGACCGGACGACGTTTGGATCGTCACCTTCCCAAGATCAGGTATAATTGCTGCCGCTAATGGAAGCATTAACTAATTAATAGCACCACAGGCACAACATGGACCCAGGAGATGGTTTGGCTAATTGCAAACGATTTGGATTACAAACGAGCTGCGGAAACGTCCCTGCTGATGAGGTTTCCGTTCTTGGAGTAAGTGTAATGAGAGAGTAATCAAAAGCAATTTACTGAGTGTTCCGTTTATTTAGGTATAGTTTATTTGTGCACAAGGATATCAAGGATGAGTTGTTGGCTGAGAATGAGCATGATATTGAAAAGACTAAAATTGTTGAAGGCATGGATGCGCCCATGTGGGTTGAGTTAACGAAAAGTAAGGAGAGACGATTCATCAAAACGCACATGCCTTTCAGTCTTTTACCGCCGAATTTGTTAACCTCCGGATGCAAGGTATTACTTAATATTATTAAAATTATATACTTACCTAATCGAATTATAGGTGGTTTATGTAGCCAGAAACCCTAAGGACGTTTCCATATCGTTCTTCCATTTAAACAGATTGATGAAGACGCAAGGATACTCGAACGACTTCCAAAGGCATTGGGAGTATTTCGAAAAAAATCTAAGTAAATTAATTATAATTAATTTTGCCAAGTATATTAATTCGATTAATTTGCAGTCGATTGGTCTCCGTATTGGGAACACTTCAAAGAGGCTTGGGCCATCAGGAATCACAAGAACCTCCTCTTCCTCTTTTACGAAGACATGAAAATGGACATCTGCGATGCCATTAAGAAGGTATCTAATTTCCTGGGGAAATCTGTGAACGCGGAAGAGATGAGCAAACTGCAGGATCATTTGGATATCAAGAACTTCCGTAACAACGCTTCAGTAAACTTCGATTTGTTAACGAACATCGGCGTTTCCGTGAAAGGAGAGCAGGCGTTTATCAGACAAGGAAAGAGCGGAAGCTGGAAGGAAAAGTTCGACAACGAGTTGAACGCTCGGGCTGATGCGTGGATTCTCAAGAACATCGAGGGAACCGACATCAAGTTTCCATCGATCAATTAATTTAAAACTATAGTAATAATAATTTAAAAGAGTTAAAAAAAAAAGAAAAACAACAAAATGTATTGATGCAAAAAGAAAATAATATTTCAAATATATGGCATTTAGTCTATAATTCTCTAGCTGCATAATTATAAAATATAAATATATTTTGTACTATAAATATAAAATTTCTCTGGATCCTAATATTCATATCTTTTCGCTAATTGTTTTTTTTTCTCTCGGTAAGAAACACACGTAAAATTTAATTAATTTTTTCAACAGAGACCTTCGCAAAAAGGCAAGTTTAAAGCACATCCGTTCTCCTCCATTAAAGCTAAAACTCGTGTCCACTTGAAAATCAAATGTAAACTCAAAACTAAACCGTAATGCAAACGATCTTTGCAGGAAGACTAAAATATTGCAACAGAAACAAAACAAAAATCATCACACGACATAAATATCTTCACATATATATAAATTATTTTTTTATTCTTTTTTCCTTGAGCAAACGAAAACCCGAATATAATTCTACACTCACTGCAAAATATCCTTTTTTAAAGTAAATTTTCTTTTTAAAAGTTATATATGTATCATTATTTTGTTTATATATAAACTTCTAAAATTATATATATTTATTTATATATATTTTTCAAAAATTAAATTGGTAATATATTATATAGTTCATATAAATATTCATTAAATAATTCCGAAGTCCGTAGATTTCATCTACGTTGGTGCCAATTTATAAAAGAATCACAAAACACTCGTTAAATATAAATAATATAAAAAAAAAACTAAAGCTACTCATCGCTTATTAAAACTTAGGTCCCCGTCGAAATCATCTTCGGTGATGCCGAGAGCTTCGAGCTCTCGGAAGCAGCTGCTTATGTAACCGGCGTCGGGGTATCCGTGTCCGCTCTTGCTGGGCCCGATTTCGGTTTTGTGCGGAATGTTCCAAGCCACGACGTCTTCGCAACCGGTCGTGTGCGATCTCGACACCGTGAAAATCAGTCGTCTCTTCCAGGCAACGTGCAACAATTGTAATAGTTTACGTCCCTGAGGACAATCAGGAAGATAAGCGGTGCGAGGAAAGCCTACGGCGTAGAAATCGCATCCGGGATTTGGATGCTCGTCTCCTTGAATACCCGATTGAATGCTGGAATTGCCATTCGATTAGTACCCATGGTTGTGGATGAGTACTCTATTTATACGCACTTGTAAACTATTTGTATGGTCCTAAAGTTCGAATAGCCGGGAAGGCCTCGTTCCAGTAAACACCATTCCATCGAACCTGGAGGTTGGTTTCCATGCTTCTCACCGTAAACGCATCCGCAAACGCCGCATTGTATGTGCATGTGAGTGCGTTGATTCATTTGCTCGGTCAACGAGTAATTCAAGCAATCTAAATGGATTACATGATTGCATGGTAATGCAACTACTATGGCTGTGGATTTTAGAACTGCTCGACATGATGGACATGGTTGTCTTGGAGCCCATTCCGTAGGCTGTGAGACTCTAACGTATTTGGAAATTATCGAACTTGCAGCATCGACTCCTATGTTTACATAAAATTAGAACTTTGTAATTTCGTTATTTTTTTCATAACTTGCTATTATCAACAGTATTAAAAACCAGATATTCCAATATGAAACAAAATATATATTTATAACTGTACAATTTGGGGTAATGAAAATGTTTGATTATTTATGTTTTTATCTCTAATAATAGCGACTTTTCGTACTTTAATTTATTAATCCACGAAAAGAAAACTATTAGTATAAAATTTAGTTAAAGAAAGTCACTTAATTTAACAAATCGAAAACTAATTCTGATTTCAATTTTTGAAATGAAAATTCTTGAAAACTGTCATGAAATTAAATTATTTCAAATTTGTTTAAATATTAATAATAGTTTGTTCATAAAAAACTATTTTTTAGAAGCTTATAAATATATGTAAATAATAATTAATATTCATGTAAAGTTTTAATTAATATTGATAAAGAAATTGGATAATTATGTTTGTATGCTTACCGACAATGGCTGGTGAATCCAAGGCATCGCTGCTGTCCCCGCTGCAATTGAGAAGATCAGCAGTGGAAGAAGTTGCTTGACTCTCTCGACTTTCTTGACTCAAATACGTCGAAACTGTATCCAGACTGGGCCTCCTCCCTGATTTAATACTACTACTGTCCACATCCAAAACGGAATTCTTGCTAGACTTGTTGATATTCTGCTGTGCCGGCGTACTATTGCTCGACTTGTGACCTAAACCTTCCGATTAGTCTAAACCCAACCCAAACAAAATGACTTACCAAATATATTTAAATTGTGTAAAATTGTCCTAGCTAAATTTACTGTGCTTGTATTGTTGTTATCACTACCGTTCTTCGTTTTGCTGCTCGATTTCTTTTTGCTTGTCGGCTTTGCCTTCGTGTTTTCGCTGACTGGACTAGTATTGTTGTTGTTGTTCTTCGACGTCGTCGACGCCTTCACCGATTTCCTGATTTCGGAGCTGCGGCGCCCTACACAGAATTTGATCTTGAATAGCCGCATCTCGGGAAGAGACTAAAATGGGGTTCAATGCACGGGAGTAAACCCAGCGTCGCGACGCATGCTGGGCAAGAGAATTGATCCGTCGCACAGACACAAACGCGTAAGCGCCACGAACTTTATCCAAAATTTGTGCAGAACATATTTGGATGGAAAACTTCTAAAGTAAGTTATCCCGTGGACCCGTAAGAGGTTTATATTTGTCTGGATTTTCCTACTTGGAGAGCGGCCAAGAATACCGTTTTGTCACATGCAAAAATCACACACACACGCTCTTAAACGCACTCAAACACACAAACCCGAGAGCTGTTGCTCTTGTTTTTTTTTATCGTATACCTAAACAAATATCTTAGTCTATGCGTAAGCTCTTCAAAAACTGGTGACCAAAACAACAACGAAAAAAGAAACAGCGAAGGAACAAAAATAAACAACGCTTAGTTCAAAAAACAAATTGCGAAACAAACGTGTGCAACAACAACAAACATATTTGTGCGCAACGGTGATTTCTTTCGTCAATTAAAGACTAAAGTTTAGGAGAATCACTTTCTTTTTATAAGAGCAGTAAACAGGAGCATCATGTTGACGCTTCAACCCATCGTCATGGATAGAGAACAACAATAAACTGAAAGCCAAGCCAATCTAAGTTTCGTTTCAATTGTGCACGAAAAGAAACCGAACCACTGCATTACGGAATCGATATAACGATTATTTTTAGTAGGTCAAGTTTGGGTTGCATGTTTAACTCCCCCTGACGACGCAATTCCACCGAACATTTTCTGAGAACGGAGAATTAATTTCTTTCAGGATCAAAGGCACCCATACATTAACTGCGCTGATAAGATTGTATAATAATCTCGAAAGAACGACGCATGCAAAGACGGCATTCCGTCAAAGAGAAACTTACATTATTCTGCACCTAAGCCAAAAAAAAAAGTCCGCGTTTTCTTCCTTTTGGATTCTTCAAATACGAATGCGCAAAATTGTTTCGCATACTGATGGCTTTAAGCCAAATGCATACCGTTCGCTTCGAAAGAGGAAATGCATAAAAATAAATGCTTCTAGAGGTATCCCAAAAATTCCAGTAAAATGACACACATAATACCGCGATTTTTAAGTGGAAATACCTACCATTGCCTTTATAATATTTTGTTTATAATTATCATTATCCGTGAACTAAACCAGACTATTAATTAGCTTTACTTTTAGTAAACGTAAGAAATCAATACACGGTGCAAGCTATACCCTTTAAAGATTTAAGGGCGTTCTCTTGAATTTCCATTAATAATACAATTAAATATTATTTGAAATAACCCAGTTTTGTAAATTATAAATTTTTAAACAAAAATTATATTTTCTTTTCGGTCAATATTGCAAATATAGTAGCACATCGCATAACGAGCAAAATGACTCGCTTAACGTGCGATGTTTCGCATAACGAGTGACGATGAAAAGAGGAATCCCGGATTGTGCGCCTGCTACATCATTTTTAAAACTTGTGTACACATACGTAAATTTTTGAATGTTTCACTGTACAAGTAAAAATCCGAAAATTTTGGAATTAATTAAACTCGTTAAGCGAGATTCCACAGAAACTTGCCCAATTTACAAAATATAATTTTTATTATACAATTTATACCTCAAAATAATCGCAAACTTGGAAAAATAAATAGTAAGAATCAAATAAGAAATCCAACCCAATTCTTATATGAATTTCTTTAGTGGTGCATCTTAAATATTGATAGCTTGATTAATAAACTAGTAACTATTGTTTTCCTGCCCTCAATGTTATTTTTAGAAGATGTTAATAGGTCATACCAAGATACATTATTAAGAAGAAAACTTTTTGTTCTGCTTCATTACTTCATATTTAATTATAAGAAACATGTATTATTTACGGATTTTATATTCACCTGAAAATATAATTATTCGATCTATATTAAAAAACAGAGTAAATTGACTTACATATTAATATTTAACAAATCAACAACTTTTTTTTTGTTTATCTCAAAAAGTTTATTAATTTTCAAATATATACTAAGATAGAATGATTAAGCAATTTGCAAAGAAATGTAAAAATTTAAAAAATAGTCAGTATAGTTTTCTAGTGTTGCTTTTATTAATGCAATTATTTATAAACAATGTGATTCATTTTATGACTGTAGTTATTATTTATTAAATTTTGAAAACAATCAACAAATTCCAATAGGAATTAATATTTTTAATCAATATTTAATTAATTTCAAAAATAGGTAAATAGAAAAATCCTAATATTAATAAATTTGAAATGAATTTACCTGTAACAGTTGGTATTTCTTCTAAATGGACTTTAATTAAAGGGTATGGAGCTTGCTTCATCCTCCTAACTTTCCTTATATATCCATTGGTTAACCATTTTTGTGTGAGATTATTAAAATTAATGATGTAAGGGAAGCCCAATTTAGTTTTACTCATATCAATAGTTTGGTCACCCTGTGAATAGTAATGATTAGCATGCAAAAGCTAACAAATCCAATAGGAATGCCAAACTTACCCTAGCCCAGGCTTCTTCAATGAGACATTGTATGTCCATATCAAATGAATGCCATTCATTCATATTATGCTCAATACTGGCCACTTCCCATTTTGCCCCTTTACCAGCTGGGGAACTCTGTGGATAGCACTTCCTGCGCACTCTAATAACTTGATCTGAAATATACAATGAAACAAATGCTTCCTACAACTTTTCATGTTAGATTACCAGTATCTTCATTCTCTTGAGTTAAAGTCCTTAGGTTGACATAATAATTTAATAAATTTGGGTCTGCATCCGAGAGCAGAACTCTTGTAAGCTGCTTTACATTAGCTCTTTCAAGGTGTTGGGTTACAGGAGGACTGTATGGTTTCCAATAGCCAGTCCTATGCTCATATTCCCAAACAACTACAGCGTGTCCAGACATTATCACAGCTTTATTCACGTCATTTGTATTGGGATTTATGAAATAACTTCAGCAACTCACAGCAAACAGTTACTTTTTTAACAAACTACTGTATTACACTCTAACCCATATTGAATGAATGGTGGGAATCCGTGAGATCCATTCCATTGAAGGCCATTTCCATAAACCAAATTTGAATATGTTCCAACTGAAACGACCAACTAATTAAGCTGGGGACAAATTAATTAGGTTATTGTTTGTTTAAGCCTTTTTTATTATTTACTTGCGTCACTGGCTGTCATGTAACGCACTGAACATGGCTGCATGCTGCAACGTTGCATAATCTGAGCTCATACAAATCCCATTCATAACATAACAAAAGGTCTTTATTGCGTAACCTACTACTGTTTACTTAAAAGCTTTAGTTTAAATAAACAATATATTACAAAAGTAATGATCAATTAAGTAATAATTATGTAAAAATCACAGAAAGAACACGTATGCAACGAATATAGCAATGTATAAGAATTCTTATAAGAAACATTGGAACTACTCGATTGTTTATTTTCTTTTAGAACTACTTTAGTGATATTAATTTTTTACCGGTTTAAAACGAGTTGGCGCGGTTACTACAAGTAACCAATATTATTATGTGTTTATAATTGTTTATAATGTGATTTAAGTTTAGTTATTGTTAAGTGACAATGAATCATCCGCACAAGATACCAGCATTTTCCATGTGGAAAATGTTCAATGATACAATCCCAGTTATGTTGAAGATGGAATCATCCGAGAGCAGTTTGAATATGTTGACTAACATCTTAGCTATGCCTGAATTCTCTAGGATTTTCTTGTTTAACACCAATAGTTCTTTAACATTCCAGCAACACAAAGAAATGAGTGGCAAGTATAAAGCCTTTGCAGTTTGGTTATTGGGTAGATTCTTTTATCTGCTTAGCCTGGAAAAACTTTCAAGGTAAACAACTATGAGCAACTATGAAACCAATACTAATAATTATGTTAATGTTCTAGAATGCACAATTTAATAATTGATGCCCATAAGAAGATTCTGCACATAATAGAAATCTCACAAAGTTACATATACCATGAACTGACTTTAGAATATGCCAAAGTCTTAAAAGACTTAATTGATTATCAATCGCATAACTATGAGGATACTAAGGTGTTGAAGGCATTTGAGCCCAAATACTATGAAGATTTGGATGGTGTGCTTGATTTAAGTCCATTGTTTGTTGAAGTTTCAAGTAGAGAATCATGTATTCATATGCAAAAGATTGCATTGAAGATCATTGATCAAATTGTTATGGAGAAACTTGAGTTTCATTACATAAAAAATGAGATATATGAAATTTTGTATAATTTGATTTACATATTGAAAAATTCCAATTGTCAGTTGAAAATAATGGTGCTTGAAATATTTGCAAGGGTAATGAATCTAAAGAGTAGTTTTCCATATAAAATTGAAACTATTTTCAGGGAAACATTTTCTATATTTGAGCAATTGTGTTATAAAGTTTTTAACAATGAGTTTCCTGATTTCTATGAGCAGTTTCAAGCTGTTACTAAAAAGATATTGAATGGACATCGAGATTTCAATAAAAGGCAAATCAGCGAATTTATTTTATCTTCCAAGAAAGTAAAATTAGATGAAGATTTAGTGGATATTTGTGTAAAATATACTGGAGAGGGATTTAACGCTAAATATTTTAAATTGTATGCCAAGACAATCTTGAGTAACTTAACAAGCTGTGAAAATAATAGAATAGATCTGAAAGATGTTAGTGGAACTTGGAGAACTTTAATGTTGGAGACTGGAGAGTATTTTGAAGGAATAAATAGTTGCGTTTCGATTCCGTTGAATGCGAGTTGTGATAAGATGAAGCATTTCTTAGATGTTTTAAATTTAGGAACAGAGATTAAAACTGTATCTAACAAACAGGTTACATTTTTCAATGAAACGCCTTTAGTGCCAATGCTTCTCAACCATATTGTGAATGATTCCATTAATTGTAAAACAAAGTGCCTTATAATGTCCTCTATGTTAACAAATATCGTATATTTGACGAAAACTAGGAATTTGAATGTTTACTTGCATTTGATTGGTTATAAGTTTATGAAATCGAAAGAATTTCCCACAAATTATATTGGGTGCAACAACTCGTATGAGATGAAAAAGAGTATCACATATTTGTATACTTATTTAGCGAATTTGGATGTACCGAGAAAAACGAGTTTTCATGAATTCTGCTACTTTGTTTTTATCTCAGCAATAGACGGTTCTTTCAGAGATATTGAAGATTATTTCATGGCTGCTGCAACACCGATAATCGAACATCATGAATATGAGCTTCAATTAATGTTGATTCCTTACATCAGTAATATTTTATCATCGAGTGTCCGTGTTGACGATATGCTTTCGAAAATAATTATACCAATGTTAATTTCGCAAGATTTACAAGTGTTAAGAGAAGTGAGTTACATTGCTCCTACATTGGTGATTATATTAAGCTCGAACCACAGCAGATGTATTAAATATAGCAAAATGCGAGTAACAGCGGATTTTTTTGCTAATGGAGAATTACAAAGAAAGTTAAAGAACATCGAGACAAGTTCCTCTAGTATGGCAATCGTAATACAAGCAATATTTAACTTGCTTAGTTTTGACGATGAAATCATTAAAATGAATGCAATAAAAACGTTACCATTGCTTTCAAAGTATGTACCACTGTTCCATAAAATTAAAGTTGTTAAATGGATGCAACTGTTGGAAGATGAACATAAATCTGTAAGAGAGGAATTCGGAGCATCAATATGTGAAATCGTTAAACATGCGCAGGTAACTTAACTACATTTAAGGTAAACGCGTGTAACAGTATAGTTCATTTCAGGCAAGTGATAGTTTGACTATGGAATCAAAAAGTCAAATGGTTGATAATATTTACGATATTCTACTGAAAGCAACAAAGAAGTCGCTCCAATACAAACCGGACTTACAGTCTACCATACTGGAAACCATAAGAAATCTGAGCCACATAAATAAAGAAGAAATTTTGCTACACACCATGACGCTGATGGCGTATTTCATAATGATGCCAATATCGAATCATTCCATCATCGCGGTGAATGTAATTACAGATCTGCCTACCATTCATAACACCACCATGTCTAAATTATATTCTAGATTTCGTCGTGAGTTGTGCAAGATCATAGTGAATCTTTGCGTTATAAACCAAGCATTAGTCAATTACAATTTGGCTACGTCTTTGGAGAAAATCTCTTTCGTGTTTGGTTTCTTCGGACCTAAAAACTACATCGTAGAGGAGTCACGATATTTGCTGCCATTATTTGTACCGTTGATTGTCAAAATCGATGCAGTGAAGAAATTGATCGATGAAATGGCGTACATGAATGAAATCGATTTATCAGAACTATTGACTTCCAAGTACGGATATATATTTTTGCAAATCTTCTTGAACTGTCCTCCTGATGTGAGCAAGATGAGCATGAAATACATTGAAATCAATACCGGCCTAGATGGATCCACTTTGAGGAAGCAAAATGTTATGGTTATTTTAAACGAGTTATTGTTGAATTTCCACGATAACCGGAGCAGAGTTATATCTGCTTTGGAAAATTTAGCTAAAGATTTCGATAGTGAAAACTCGATTTCTGATTTCCTGCAACCGAGGTTTCTCGGAGTCTTGCAATATTTCGACTTGAAGTTGATGGGGCAGTCTGTAACCAAGAGGAAAGTATTACTGAGTTTAGCACAGATTTTTGATTTTATGGGATCCAAAATTATTTCGCCGCTGAGGTTCAAGATCATAGCCATGCTGAAAACTGCTCTGAACGTTACGAAGTCTTCTTTCCCTGAGTTGAACTGCGATGTGTGGAACGCGTTCATCAAGAGTTGCGATATCGAAGTGTTGGGACCTCATCTAGCGACCATAGCTGTGTCAATCTTGCCGGTAATAGAGATCAATCCAAAGAAAGTCAACGATATATTAATATATTTGGTGAGAGACAATGAAGAAGCTTTAAAAGATTTTATTGCTGATTTATTCTTCGTGTTGGATTGCGAGAAAGTCGATTATGCGGTAATTGAAATTGTTAAAAGGTACATGCAAGAGGTTACTTCGAGTGATTTTAAAGAACATTTGAAGCACTTTTTGAAATATTTGTCGTATGAGACAAACGAAGTGAGGATTTACGGTATCAAATATATAACGGTTCTATTGAAGCAGAACCGCGAGGAATTGGATCGGATGATCTTAGGATATAACGGAATAGATGATTGTGTAGTCGAGTTGTTGGATATCCTTACGTTAGGTTGCAGAGAAGAAGATGTCACCTTGAAATTGGCATGCGGAGAATGTATTGGTGAATTGGGAGCCATCGAACCGAGCCATTTGCCTAGGAAATATACGCCACAAGACACTTCCTTCAGCTTCTTCATAACCGATCCTAATTTCATAGTGAATACTTTAAACGAACTAACGAAAACATTTCAATCGGAGAAAAACACCCAGCAGATGGATAGATTTGCTTTGGCTATACAGGAGATACTAAAATTTTATAGTATTTCGCCAGATAGAAATAGTCAAAATAATGAGCTGTGGAAGCAATTTTCCGATTCTCAACAAGAATTGATGATCCCACTTTTATCATCAAAATATACCATGGTACAGGCCATTGGTGATATAAAGGTTTCTCCAATATATGGTTCCAATTTTGGATCAAATTTTCAAACATGGTTGTACAGCTGGAGCATATCTTTGATATATTCCATTCGATCCAATAAGAAAACTATGTTTGAAGCTTGCGCTCCCAGCATGAAGCAGGATCAGAAAACCTTGATGTACTTCTTGCCTTACATATTGTTGCACGCATTGATCGAAGGCTCCAACAATGATCAAGAAAGGGCTTACAAAGAATTCATGGCAGTTATTCAATCCAGAAATAATGCTAAGATCAGTGATAATCTATTGCACGTTAGACCTCTTCGAACTGAAAATTTCATATCGTTTGAACATACGAGCGGGGAAACAATTAAATCGGAACAATACACGAAAGTGGTGTTCGTTCTACTGGATTTCCTGGATAGATGGTTACGGAAATGGCTGTGGAACGCCGGATTCCAAGGACGGAATAATGAAAATTATAAAAAGATTAAAGCGTTCCTTTCGAACTTCTGCAAATTGCAATTGGCACAATGCAACTACGACTGTGCCGAATATCCAAGAGCTTTGATGTATTTGGAAGATTACATGGCTGAGAACGGAATTAATGACAACTTATCATTTTTAGCTGAAATTTATTATTGCTTGCATGAACCTGACGGTGTTGCTGGCGTGACTGCTCTACGGCAAAGAGAACCGTTTTTGGAGGAACGCATCTTAGCGTTGGAAGTCTCTGGGAAACTGTCGGATGCTGCAGCTTGCTACGAACGGATAAATCCTCCTCTAAAATTGAAGCACGTCAAGGGATTGGTGAAGTGTTATTTAGATTTGGACAACGTAAATACAGCTTTGAACTTCTGCAAAGGTGAATTGGAGAAACAACCTGAGTACCAGAAATGGTTGATTGATGTGCAGGCGGAATCGTTTTGGAGACTGGGTCGTTACGATGACTTGGATAAGTTTTTGGCTAAAAACGACTTCATGTCGAACTCATCTTGGGGATCTCAAATGGGCCATGCTCTAATCCATCTTAAAAATGGTAAAATTTATTATTATTATTAATTAATATATTAATTGTGAAATTTTCACAGGTTCTCGTGAAGAATTTAAAAGCAAACTTGGTGAATTGCGAATGGCTCAAGTGGATTGCTTAAGTGCTGCTAGTCTCGAGGAGGGAGCCTACCAACAAGGATATTTTTATATATCACGTTTACACGCTTTGAACGAAGTAGAACAGATCGAACATATGTTGAATGAGATTCTTCTAAGACCAAGCGAATGTCAGAATCTGGTAAAAAAGCTTAAATCTGAATGGGAACTTCGATTGAAAGTGGTTCAAGAAACGGTCAAAGTGATTGAGCCAGTTCTGTGTTTACGAAGGGTTTCTGTTGAGCAAGCGAAGAGCGTATTGGAAGAGAAGTGCCCAGCGGTCTCGCAAATGTTGGATACCGTTTTAGGCGATTCATGGTTGAAAAGCGCAGAGATTGCTAGAAGAGCTGGGGTACTTTCAATTCTATACTACTTCAATTAGAATATTTACAAGTATATTTTCAGATTCACCAACAAGCTTATACCTACTTATTGAAGGCCGAGACGTACTCGCCTACAAAATTGTTCATTGAGAAAGCAAAGTTGCATTGGATGCGTGAAGAACACGAACAGGCATTCACTGCATTGAAAAGAGGTTTAGACAAGTACTTCCCTGACTTTAATCCTTCGAATGGCAAACGGAGTCAATTAACAGTCAACTTTCCGAAAGATAATAAGTATAAAATATCCAATAATAAATTTGTAAATCTTATTAAACTTGCTTTAGGAAAATTTGCGCTGAAGCTCAACTTCTCATAGCCTCTTACAACGATTCAATTTCCAACGTAGATATGGATACAAATCTTCAAAATTACAAAGAAGCTGTGGATATGCTCAAGGAATGGGAGAAAAGTTTGGTACGTTCATTGAAATTTCAATGCTATTCTCTATTATATCAATAATCAATGTAGGTTTCAATGGCGCAATACTTCGACCGAATATTCCAAAGTTATACGGACGAAGAAAAAGATACCAAAGGAAATGATATACAATTGCATATGATTAATTTTTTCGGTAAATCATTGCTATATGGAAATTCGTACGTTTATCAATCTATGCCTAGAATGCTCAGCATATGGTTTGATTACGGAACGAGGCTTCTTGACGTAACATCAACTACGATTAGAGACGAAAGGAGAATAAATCTATTGAAGATGACGAAATTAGTAGACAATTCATTGGAAATTTTACCTCTATACATTTTCTTTACGGCATTTTCGCAACTCGTTTCAAGGATTTGCCATCCGCAGAAGGAGGTGCATAAAGAGCTGAAGCTGATAATCATAAAATTGATACTGCAATTCCCGCAGCAGAGTCTCTGGATGATAATATCCGTAATCAAATCGAGCTATTCGCTGAGATCCAAGCGCTGCAACGAAATCCTGAGCGATTCTCGTCTGAAGACTCCGGAAATGGTGAGATTCATTACTGACTTTGTCAAATTAGCAGAGAAACTCATCGAATTATGTAATAAAGAAATAATAGAAAATGTGAAAACGACTAGCGTAAGTCTACTGATGAAATCATTACCAAGGTACTAACTATTATATTTAAAACATTCGATTAAGCCAAAGCGTTTGAACTTTTCATTTCAGATTGATTACGAAAGAGGGATTTAGTCAGATAATGATACCAACGCATTTATGCCGGAAATTGGTGCTTCCTAATCCAGATTTCTCAAGCGACCAGCACAATCCGTTTCCAAATCGCTTCGTGCATATCATTGGGATCGAAGATGAAATAACAATTTTGCAGAGTTTGCAGAAACCACGTAAAATAACTTTCAGAGGTTCTGATGGGAAATCCTATATACAGATGCTGAAACCGAAAGATGATCTTCGCAAGGATTTCCGTTTAATGGAATTCAACGACATCGTTAACCAAATGTTATCCAGAGAGGTTGAATCAAGGCAAAGGAGATTGCTGATTCGTTTATATTCCGTAGCTCCGTTAAACGAGGAATGCGGATTAATCGAATGGATTCCAAATTTGGTCTGCTTTAGACATGCCCTTTTAGCGCTTTACGAACAAAGAGGTATACATTTAGACATTTAGCTAAAATGTTAATTAATGCTTTAAATCTATAGGATTTGGTATGAAAAATAAGGAATTGAAGGAGATTTGCCCTAAATTGAATGATCCCTTGAGTAAGAAGAAAGATATATTTTTGAAAAAATTAATACCAAAGTATCCGCTTATATTGGGAGAGTGGTTCAGAAAAACATTTCCAGATGCTCAGGTTTGCTAAAACTATTATATAATAGTTTTAATTATTATTAAATTACGTATTTTAATTAGGGCTGGTTGTCTGCTAGAACTGCATACATTCGTACTACTGCTGTGATTTCTATGGTCGGGTATATTTTGGGACTTGGCGATAGGCACGGCGATAACATCCTGTTGGATTCGACTTGCGGAGATACGGTTCACGTGGATTTTAATTGTTTGTTCAATAAAGGAGAGACGTTCGAGTGGCCGGAACGTGTGCCTTTCAGACTTACCCGAAATATGGTTTCTGCAATGGGACCGTTGGGTGTTGAAGGCGTTTATAGGAAGTCCTGCGCTGCTACTTTAAGAGTACTCAGAACTCATGTTGATACGTTAATGTCCATTGTCACTCCATTTGTATATGATCCTTTGGTTTCTTGGCCAAGAAACGCTCCAGCAGCCGCAAGCGCTCAAAACGCAGAACGAATAAATGAATTGGTAAGTTTAATCATTGCATGTTTACCATATAGATATATAATAGTATCATCACAATTAATTTAAATAATCACATATTGTTTCTAAACTTCAGACTTTGGAACTAAAGTTCCATCCAATTTTTCATTCTTGTTATTTTAACGTTCCTATACAAGGGTATTAAATCCTAATACTTAGAAAATAGCAATTACGTATTCTTCCATATATAATACAATACATTTGTGTTTGTAGGCTTGCGAGCACATACGTGAGATTAAAAGAAGGTTGTTAGGTCAAGTACGAACAAAAGGCAGGTCGTTTTCCATACCTTTATCCGTCGAAGGACAAACTAATAATCTGATTTTGGAAGCCATGAATATCGAGAACTTGTGCCAAATGTATATAGGCTGGGGCGCCTATATGTAATATCAAAATGTATAAAATATCGTTGTTTTTTCTTTCTATGTTTGTACAATAAAATCTATTTATTCGGAAGCGCATGCAAGTATATACTGATCCTAACGAAATTCTGGAAAGTCTGCTGTAGGTCTTTCTGAACAGCTGCTGTGATATTTTTCAACCTCCCGTCATTAGCTCCAGCTATCAATTGAGCTTTCCTTACACTCGGACACCTAACATTGACTATCGTTTTAATAACACCTAAATAAATAATAACAATTTAAGTTTCAATTAGTTCAATCAAATTTAATATTCACCGTTAACATCTACTTCGAACAGCTCCATTTCAGGCACCAAAACGTAAGGTAATTCTTCATTGAGGAAGTCCATGAATTTAGCTTTCACCGTATTTAATATGATCGTTTCTGGTGGTTGATCAGACCAAACTTCCGCATCGTAAAGCCATTTTCCGGGCTTCGCCTGTTCCAATAAATAATTTCTTACATCCTCCAAACCATCACCTACAAATTAAAACATTATTTTTAAATCAATATTTTAGGAATTTGAAGATTTCACCTGTTAAAGCTGATACCATAAATATGTCCTGAAAGTTCGGCCATCCTCGACTATCTTCGTTCATTTCGAAATCACCTTTATCAGGAATTTCCTCTCCTCTAATTTTATTCTCAGTCAGAAGCCTTGTTATATCTAACAATTTCCTTTTTGATTTTAACATATCTATCTACAAATATTATTAACTTTAAGTAAAGTCTGGCAGTTGTGAAATATATGAAATACACACTTTGTTTAAAACTAGGAAACTAGGTTTTTTTACATGCTTTTCCAGCAATTTGATAACTTTCAAATCTAACCTATCCTTTGTATACTGATTGCTCACATCATGAATTACTCCGACAATATCAGCATTCTGTAAAGATGCATTTGGATCCTTCACAAATGATCTTTCTAATTTGTATCTGAAATATACATGTCGCTGAATGTTTATATAACAACTAACTTTAAATATTACTTATTATATTCTTTAATATTAACCAATCCTGGTGTATCTAAAAAGACTACCTGGGTATCGCCTTCAGTAAAAATAGCAGTGGCTCGTTTCCTTGTAGTATGCACCTTTGATGATGTTGGACATACCTATAATCAGAATCGATTAGATATTAGAAATCATTGTGTGATTTGCTTACTTTTCTATCCATTAAATGATTAATAACAGTACTCTTTCCAACATTTGGTACACCAACTATAGCTACTTTCAGTAGCTTCTGCTCCAATTCTTCAATATTATTAATTACAACACTGGAACTACATAATTTAATATCTTTGAAAACACTTTGCTTTTGCTTAAATAGGTACGAAATCCTTTTGAAAAACATTATTGTTTAAAATAAGTGATCATAACCTTTGAAGTTTTCAAATTTTCTTATTTACAGTTGGTAGAATAGAGTTTGGTGGTACTACCATTTTCTTTGTTGGAAACCATGATTCAACGTATTTAACCTTTCAAGAGCAAAACGCGCCAAAAATCTGCAGGAATGTTATTATTATCAGTTTTGTTTATATTTAACCCATTTTGTTGATGTTATTCCATTTTAGTGATAACTTTAAAATTTAACTCGTTTTGTATGATGATAACGCAAGATGTAAGTGAAATTCATACAAATTCAGTAGAGATTGAATTAAAGTTGAAGGAAAAGTGCATAAACAGTGATGTGGAGGTTATTCCTATTTTTGTTGAAGATCTAAGTAGTGACAGAGTGACCAAAGCAAAGGATCATAAATATTTGGAAGTGGACATAGTTGAAAAGGAAAATAAGAAGCATAGAAAGTTGAAGACAAAATTGAAAAGGAAACGAAGGAGTCCTGACCCAGCAGTGATAAATATTTCTGAATTGATGTCATCCAGTCTGAGGATTATATCCCCAGATAAATCAGGAATTCCAACAATGTTGAGTGATTTGGATGATGTTGCTAGCAATGAAGGCTTAGGACTGATTGTTGAAAAGGAACTCAATAAATCATTTGATTGTGATTTAAATAAATTAAATAGTTCAATTGAAGAAGAAATAGGTAATACTTTGAACCTGAGGAAAACTCGTAAGAAAAGAAGCAAATTATCTTTGAAAGACAGCCCTCAAAGTATAAAAGATGAGGATAGCTCGCAAAGAAATTTAAATAGTTTTCTACAAATCAATTTACAAAAAGAAAGGTACATTTAAATATTATCTCTGTAATGAAAATTTTATTGATATTTTATTTTCAGGACTGATTCTAATGTAACTATTAATACGAACAGCAGTTCAAGTGATGGAAAGAGTAAAAAAAGTAACCAAAAGTATGTATTAGATGTTTATAACTAATTTAGAAATAATATTAATAGTATTTTGTTTTTAGAGAGAAGGAAAACAAAGAAACTAAAAGAATTTCTTTGCGAAAATCTGTTGAAAACGACGTTTCTTCAGAGATAGATAATTCTCTAGAAAAATCGTGCGAAGAGATTTTGGAAGATTTATCGGCATTTGCTGATAATGAAAATTCCTCAAAAGACAAATCAAGTGAAGATTCACTTAAACAACCGTCTCCGAAAGAAAATGTTTTCAATTTTATGATGCATCAACGTAATAAAAGCATAGGTATGAATTACGATGGAAAACCGATTGAGGAATCACCGAACAATGAAAATTCGGAAATCAATTTGGATTGTAAAAAGAACGCTCTTGCTAAACGTAAAGGGAAATTCGAAGAGTGGAATAATAAAAAGGGTTTGAAGCGTAAGCAAATTGAAGAGGAGAGAGAGGAATATTGTCATGCAGTCCTGGATCATAGATCCAAGAAGTTGAAGAAAATGCTATCGATAACACCAAAGAAGAACGGTGTAAAACGAAAACGCGTTCGTAGGTTGTTATCCTCGGAATCAAATTCAGATGCAAGTAGTGATATTATATCACCTCCAAACAGCAAAAAGCCCAAAGATTGTTTAACATTAATTGAAGATACTCTTGATGTGGAAGTATTTAAAAAGCATACGCACACAGATTCACGTACCAATAAAGTACAGAAAGGATTGTTAAGTTTCTTTGGGGTTTTGGATACGAAAAAGGCTCAAAGTGAAAATACTGTAGTAATGTGCGATGAACCGAAAAACGACAGTCAACAAAGTTCAATAAAAGTGAAGATGTTTTCACCTAAAGTATCTCGTAAGCGAAATGTTCTGAATATAGACGAAAGTAGTACTGATCAAATAAGTAATGAAAATACAAATAAGTTGGAAGAGAAACGGGAGAGAATGCCAAGAAAAGCAAAGCTTGCAACCAAAGTTGCAGTAATTGAAGAAAGCAATGACGAAAACAGCAATTGCTCGATTTATTCGGAATCTGAATCTAACCATTCAGTGAAGGCAAGAAAACCTAGAAAAACTAAAAAGGACATTTTTAGTGTGGAAAAGATGAAAGCTGTAATTAAATTGAAAATGGAGAATAACTTGCATATCGATTTGACGGAAAGTCCTCCAGAAAGACGTTCAAGTGGAAGAGTTAAAGTCACAAAGAATTACAATGAAGATGAAGATAACTCATCTACAGAGCAAAAGAAAAATATGAAAGTTGCCCCGATTTTCAACGTTAAACCAAAGGTGGATCCGAAAGTGTTGGAAGCCAGAATGAACTTTTTGCGCAGCGGAATCCCAGAGAAAATTAAAAAGCAAATTGAAAAACCCCCAGAGATCGAATTTGATATATTTCCAAAGATTAGTCACGTACTGCAAAACGATTCATCGGATCTTTGGGACACAATACAAGTTACCATGAAATTTCAAGAAACCAAAAGTGACCTCGATCTGAACTTTGACAATTTTAAATTTAAATCGATTACGAATAGTAAAAACGCAAAACAGAAGATTATCAATTTAAATGCTCCAAATCGAAATAACGCTTTCAAAAAAAGCGTGCAGGAAATAAAAGAAGCAAATCCAGAATATCCGGTCAATAAGTTCTTCAGAATATTACACGAGAAAAGCGGATATAATGTTGCCAAAGAAGTAGTTAATGCTGTCGTCTCTCCTCCAAAAGTTAGGAAAAGAGGTAGGCCGAAAAAGAAAGTTGTAGAAGAGAAGCCGGTTGAAACGAAAACGAGTATAACGTTAGCGTACGATGATCGGATGTGGACTGAAAAGTACAAAGCAAAATGTAGCGATGATATTATTGGAAATCAGAAAAGTTTGAAGGCTTTAAAAAGTTGGTTGGATAATTGGATACAGTTTACTGAGGAAGTTGGTAAAACCAAGAAAACTTATCGAAGGGATAGTTCAGATTTTGAAACAACTGATAACGAAAGTAGGGATGGTGGAATGCCGGGAAATGGGATGATCTTGCGAGGACCAACCTCCAGCGGGAAAACGTCGTCGTTATATGCGATCTGCAATGAGTTAAATATAAATGTCATAGAGTTGAATGCTTCCAGTAAAAGAACGGGGAAACGGCTGTTGCAAGAGTTGCAGGAAGCCACGCAATCGCATCAAGTAAGGAAGAAAGACAATAATCCTCTATCATCGTTTTTAAATAAGAAGAAAGTGAGCGCCGCGGATAAAGTAGAATCATCTAGGAAAATGTGTATATTATTGGTAGAGGATGTAGATATAGTTTTTGATCAGGATGAGGGATTCGTGAACGCTCTCTCTCAGCTCTTCTCAACGAGCAAGAGGCCAATTGTGTTAACGATGAGCGATGTAGATTGTTCGCACTTGCACAAGTTCACCTCGCAGTACCCTGTACTTAAATTTAATCCACTATCAGCTAGGAGTTTGGGAGTTTGGCTGCAGATTCTTTGTTTGGTCGAGGGATTAAAAGTGGATCTGGGCTCGCTGAGTGAATTGTTGGAGTGGAACAAGGGTGATATAAGGAGAACTTTGATGCAGTTGCAGTTCTGGGGCCAAACTGGTGGCGATTGCAGCAATTCTCGCAGCAACGCCGTATCCTACATTAGGAACTGCAATGAACTGGAGAAGCTGAACAAGTCTGATGACTATTTAGACGATGACACGAATGAGGTATCATTCCTGCAGGATGATGAAGCAGCTACGGTGAATACGGAGCGGGTCCATAAGAATTGCATCGGCACGTTTCTGGTTCACGAAATCGACGAATTCTCGTTACCTTATCCAATTGACCTGGGCAACGTTTGGTGGAACTTGCCCACCATTTTACATTTCAATCCCATAAATCACAACATTGAAGCAAGCGATAAGCCTGAAGTCAAAGAAGATTTAGAGAAGTTGGAGAGTATAGCCAATGTTTTTGATGCAATGTCTGTGGCTGACGCTGTATTACGGACAGACCATGACGATTACGATTTAGAACCGTGCGTGAAACGTTGGAATTCACCATTGAAGACCAGTCTCAACTTCAAGGACAACATGGATAGTTATAGGGGTAGTTTTAAGACCGATTTGACGCACCATTTGGTGGAGGGTTATTGTAAGCTGCACAAGAGTGATGAGGCTGAAGCTGGGATTTCGATGGCTGCACCTTCGTTGGAAGAATTGAGGTATGTTAAGTTCTAGCTACGAATTAATTTCGTTTGGAAACAATTTAAGAAATTTATTAATATTGCTTGGTTTTAGGTGGCGGCAAAGGAGACACGACTGCGAAAACGTTTTCCTCGAGGCTACCCCTTTATCAAATTGGACAGACCGCGCCGCATTCTCGACAGACTATTTCCCTGTTCTACGGCAAATATCCAGGTCGGAGATAGTCAGGTCAGACAATAGTAATAAACGCGGCAATCGATTCTACAATTACTTGCGTACCTTGAATATTAATCCAAGTAATTCGAACATTAAAACTGCCTGTGATATGTTCCAATAGATTTTTGTTTCGGCATCGATATACAATAGGTTTTGATTTCCCATTGTATATTATTTAGTCTGCATGCGCAGACCCTCAATTTGTAAATATTCAACTTTAAATCGAATTAATTAACTAACATTTATTGATTATATATGTACAAAAAAATAACAGCAAAGTAAAGAAATTTTAATTTTCAATTTAAAAATAATACAAATTTATCGATTATGTTTTTATCATATTTTTAGTTAAGAATAAAAGTATTCCCTTGCACTATTTACTTTTTATCATTTTATCCTATTTCTGACTTTTTTTTTGGTAATATAACTTGTTAGGATCTCAGAATCAAAATATACAAAAGTAATATATATATTATACAGCAGTAAATATGTGATATATTTTTGGTGTTTATATACAAAAGATTTCGCAAATGTACTTTAATATTAGTATAAATTATATATTATACATTTAAAACCTGATTGCAATGTAACAAATTGGATATTTATAACAACAATTATACAAATTTAAAGATTGTATTTTTAATTATTAATAAAACCATTTCTTTATATTATACACATTATTTCGTATCTCTTTTTTTTTTTACAATTATCCCTTGATTTATTACAAATAACTAATAAGTCATACAACAGTTATTAACTTAATTTAGTTTAATTTTCATGATTGGACCAATTCAACATTTCAGCTAATGACAGAACTTCTGCTTATTATTTTGTGTCTGCTTTAGATAGATTGATGTAATAACAATCATTGGAACTAATTAACTTAATATACTCTTGACCATAGATTAATTCAAAATTAAAAACTATTATGAATAAAGTAATTATTTGATCAAATGTTTACAGATTTCGGCAATTTGTAATAGACTAGACTGTTTTTGTTGAAGCAATGAACTAAATGATATCTTAATGAAGGATTTGTTTGTTTGGGTTAAAGTCCTTGTGAATATGCCGTGGTTGTTCATAAACACGAAACGCAGGCTGTTCTGAATTTAAATAGTTCTGAGCCTATTATTAATCCATTTTCTTGTTAAGTACTATATCCGGCGTCAAATAAGGGGAACTTCCCGTTGAATAATGCAAAGGGCTGCAATAATTCAGGTCGGGCACAGAGAGAGAGAGAACGAGTTTGTATATGTGTGCGTACGTTAATGTGTGTGCACCCCGGTAAACTATGGCTCTATTATTTACGAGTATTGCTGACCAACCAAGCCGCCTATATACATATCATGGAGTAATTAGCTGCTTTTAATTATGCCCTCTTTGGTAGACAGCTCTGGGCCTCCTGAAATTGGCGAAGAGGGAAAATCAAAATTGATATGCAATAGAATGGCGGCACTACGCGCGAAATTGATTTAGGCTTTCCCCATTTTAATGGACAACAAAGCGTTTACTTTTTTTTTATATGTATATATATATAATACAAACATATTTACTTTTGAATTTCAAGCAGCCTCATTCCACCCTGGGGATCGTTTACATGAAATCCATTAGGGGTGTGGGAGAGGCTGCAGCTTCTTGTCTCGGTGTAATTTTACAGGAATAAAATTGAGCGAAGAATTTGGTAAAGAAGCTGTTGCGGCGTTTAAAATACTTCCGTGCTTTTGCCGAGTGTAATCCGGGTACCATCTCATCCCCCTAACATTACTAGGCTAAATTAATTACGCAACACACATTATCGTATTAGGGATTGTAGGAGGGTGGATGAGGGTTTTCTCATCTTGCACGTTAGCGTTGGATAAGTCGGTGGACCGGAAACGAAATTCATGAAAGGAGAGAGAAGAAAGGAAGGTAAGGCAGTAGTAGCATTTGTGTCTTCTGCTGCGGTAGACACCTGATCCCAGGTGGACCGTGGTTTGCATTTTAATGGGCTGCGAAGCCGATCGCGAACTTCCCTTTAATTATTTATCAACGCCTCGGATACGAGACCGGTACAGCGCGATTTATTTAGAGCTCAAGTCCTTCTTTCCACCCTCCTCCCAAAGCTATACTATATATACATATATACTTGTGCACACAAATTCCCTGCTTTGTTTCCTTCATTTTAAAGTTTCCGCATCGTTTAACAAAGGTTTACTGTTGAAAAGCAACCTATTAAACCGCAGAATCAGACCATAAAATAACGGTTTCCTTTATTTTTCCTTCGGTTTATTATAAGCTCGCAGTTAATGTTCTGATTGACGATTATTTGCGTTTGCAGTATTATCGAGTACATTTATTGTTATTTAATTTAACATTTAACATTAATCATTGAACTATAAGTGGACATTTAATATTTCGCTAGTTTACTTGCAGGTTTCTGTTAATTAAAGTTCATTGTTACAAGAATTGTATTAATATACTATACTTACTACGCTTATAATAAAATTGAATGGGTGTAAATTAGGATTAGATTGCCAAATTAAATGATTTGTATCATTAGGGCAGATTATCATAATTTGTTATACATAAATTACAAATAAAACAATTATTTATGTTTATTTCCGAAACTGTGACTAAAAACAAACAGGGTTAATATATTATTTTTATTACTTTGTTGTTTTTGTGTTTTTAAACTTGTTTTAAGAATTGGAATGAAATAGTATTTAAAATATTTGTATTTATAAAAATATCACAACTATAACTAAGTAGAGACAAACACTGACGATGACACGAAATGAAAATTTCCCATTTATATATACAATTTTTTTTGTGTCGTTGTTATGCAGCCGTATGTATACGAGAAATTGTATATTTTAAAATGTAACAGTGTCGAGTCGGACGGAGACATGCTGTATTAGGATGTGTGTGACTTAAATTGCCGCCCGGCGAAGAAATTCTTTGCCGCAAATACTTTACATGCAAATATGTTCATATTTTAGTATGTGGATAATAAAACTCTAAACTTTACGGCCTCGCACACTAGGAAACAATGAATATTTAATAAATTTTTCTACCTGTGCTTTCTGCGTTTTGCTTCGTGTATATATATATTTTTTTCAACCCTCGTTTTTTCCAAGCCACAGCGAAACTCGTTTAAACTTTTACATTTTCATTTTGTGTCATTTGTTATTTCCAAGGGCGATATAAACAGGGAAGACGTGTTTATTAGTGATTTCAATCTTTTATTGCTGAGTATAAAAGGATATGATGCAATACATTATTTATAGAGAGCAATTGAAATGAGAATTAATGGCATTTCAAGCATTGGAAAAGCTTAGTTTTATGTGGTAAATAAAGTGATCTTTATTAAATTCATAAATAAAACAAATACTTATACAAAGGGAAGAATCTTTGCAGCTCTAGTTTTAAGTATTTTATGTATACAATTTATTAACTAGTGTTAACATACCAAATTTATACATAAATATTTGTCCTCCTTAATATTTTTTGTTTTTATAATTATTGTCAATTTTGTCGCAAATTATTCTAAATTTATCGGGCTAAATTTTATTAACTAGTTTTGAAATACCAAATTTATACAAAGACAAATTTTAGCCCTATATACTTTTACCAAAAAAATAATAAAACTACCTGTATAGTCAATGTTTAGTAGTATTTAGAATACATATTTTGTCGTTATTTCAAATATTTGTCCTGCTTTATATTTCTTGTTTTTATAATTATTGACAATTTTGTCATGAATTATTCTAAACTCTATATATTTGTGATTCAATTCGTAGGTATATTGTCATTCTGAAAGTAAGTGTAAACAATAATAAATCAAACAACCGAAGATAAATTATTGAGGTAATAAGTTTCCATCTATGAAAAATCTTCTCTATAAGAAGACTCAAATGAGATCTAAAAGAGGTTAGAAAACCTTACATAACTTTACCTTACTTTGGAAGTCATTTTATAGTTGTATCTGTAATAGGTAATAAGCATGTGTTGAAAAAAAATGAACTTTTGTTATGAAATAATTAATGATGATTTGAATAAATGTAATTTTCTGAATAAATTTCTGTCTATGAAAGATCTTGTCTACAAGAAGACTCAAATGAGGTCTAAAAGAGATTAGAAAAGCTTAGATAACTTTAGCTTACTTTGGATGTCATTTTATAGTTGTATCTGTAATAGGTAATAAGCATGTGTTGAAAAAAATGAACTTTTGTTATGAAATAATTAATGATGATTTGAATAAATGTAATTTTCTGAATAAATTTCTGTCTATGAAAAATCTTGTCTACAAGAAGACTCAAATGAGGTCTATAAGAGGTTAGAATAGCTTAGATAACATTAGCTTACTTTGGTTGTCATTTTATAGTTGTATCTGTAATAGGTAATAAGCATGTGTTGAAAAAAAAAAGAACTTTTGTTATGATATAATTAATGATGATTTGAATAAATGTAATTTTCTGAAAAATTTCTGTCTATGAAAGGTTTGTTTACAAGAAGACTCAAATGAGGTCTAAAAGAGGTTAGAAAAGCTTAGATAACTTTAGCTTACTTTAGATGTCATTTTATAGTTGTATTTGTTATGTTTTTTTATGAAATAATTAATGATGATTTGAATAAATCTAAGGACATTCTCTGTTTATGAAAGATCTTGTTTACAAGAAGACTCAAATGAGGTTTAGAAAATCTTAGATCTTTAGCTTATTTTGGAGTAATTTTATAGTTGTATCTGTAATAGCTAATAAGGTTATTTACATAATAAATTTAACGTCTATGAAAGATCTTAATAACAAGAAGGCCTTAGATAACTTTACCTTATTTGGTAGTCATTTAAAAGTCGTATCTGTAATAGATAATAAGTGTGTGTTGAAAAATTCAACTGTTGTTATGAAATAATTAATGATGATTTGAATAAATGTAACTTTCTTAGATGAATGTAATGCAACAATGAAAACATGAATGAAGTACACCAAAGTTCACACAAGGTAAGCAACAAGACTTACACGACGTTGCTATTAGTAATACAATGAAGGGTTATTTAAATAATACATGGAGTATTAGGGTATGTGTCAGGTGGGTCCGCGCTCGACACAATAAAACACAGAATTCACTTCGCTGTAAGTTGTTTGCGTAATGACTTTAGTAGTTTATGCTCTTGGGAAAATATCGCGCTGCATGCAAATACAGCCGCGGATTATATGTATACTGTGTAAACGCGAAAACTGGTTTGAGGGAG